TTCTACGTGCGTATGGCGATTTTTCTTCTATTGTTTCCCCACGTTCCCATGATTTTTGGCTCTTTCATAACTTAGAAGCCGCTTTCTATGCGTGCGTTTTGACTATTTTCCTTCAAGGTTTAGCCGGAGTTTCGATATCTATGTAAACGAGTCTTCCCTTTGCTTTTGATCTAATCGAGAACTTTGTGTACTTGCCATCGATCCTTTTTAACCTTAACTTCATATACTTCAACTTTCTTGGTTGGTTCCATACCTTTTCGACTCTACCTTTCGATTGTATTTGCTACGTTCTTTATAATTGATCATCGAAAAGATCTCCATACATTTCGTTCCTTGAATTTCTTTCGTTCGTTTATTGATCATATTTCTGGATTTCATACTAACAACATGTTAGAGCTACTTCACATATTGTCAATTGGTTTTATATTAGAACCTTAACATAAGTATCGTAAACCAAAGTCTACCATCTTTCCGATTATTGTCATGGATCAAAAGTACCATTTAGCGTCTGCAGAGTGAACCTTAACATATACTAATAATTTTTATATGGTAATTTTTAACATGTTTATTTAATATTACTATATAATTATTATTTGTTAAATTATATTAATGACAATCAAATTTCAAAGTATTATTTTGATAGAAGAAAATTATGAGTACAGCAAAAAGGTCAACGGAACTCCGCAAACTTATATTGTAGTTGAAGAAACTCAATAACAAGATTCACACTAATTGGTTGCATGAAATCAATGTAGGTTATTCAAATGATGACATAATTGCAATTAATAAAAGATAAAATGATGTAAGTTGTAAAAAATTGTAAAATTAAAAAATAAAAAATTAGGGAGAAGCAAAATGGGTTTTTGCAAGAACCAAAACGCGGTCATTTGAATAGTCACGTTTTGTACAAAATGGATTTAGATAAAGACATCAAACATTAATGTTGTGTTTGATTTTTTATAAAGAAAAATACTTAGTTTTTATTTTGCTTTTATATAAATTTGTTGTAATTTAATTTTTATTTACAAAAATATTATTATCAATATAATTACGAAAATAATAAAGTCAATGATTTTGACATATAGAAATTGCGTTTTATAATTATTAATTCTGTTAATCCCGAATTATTTATATTTTTTATTTAACTTTCTTTTTTTCGAATTAGACCTTGTGATTTCTGTACATGAACATGAAGAGAATAATCAGGTCCAAATTGACATGAAGGATAAACAAAGATGGTGATTATTATTTTAAGACTTAGCAAATTTTTTGTCTTTTTAAAATAATTTGACTATGTATATTGTATTTTTTTTATTTGTTTTTCACTAAACTTTTGTTTGGACGATAAAAAATAAAGAAAGAAAACGAGAGACTATGTTCCAAAATTTTGGGACAAAGCCATGGCCTAAGACAAAGCCACGATTCTCTTCCACTTTTCACAAATAATCGGTGTTTCTCTCTCAAACACAGCATGATTAGTAAAAGATTCAAAACTTTTTTAAATTAAAAATATAATATTGACACTAAAACTTTAAAATATTTTTTAATAACTTCAAAATACTAAAATAAATAATATATTATCATGATTGACATAAACTTAAATATATTATTAATAAAAATGTAAAAATAAAAATAATTAAAGAAAAAACACAAATAACCTTAAATGTTTTTTTTTAAATACAGTTTGTAAAACTTATTTTGTATTTTTAAAAAACTTATTAAATTAAACAGTCCAATTTTTTTAATGTACTTCTCTTTAATATGAAAAAATAAAATGAATTATTATTACTATTATTATTTATTATTATTATATCGATTTTCTTAAAGTTGCCGACACCCCAGACAGCCCAATATCAATGTTTCATTTTATCAAATCTGAAACTGCTATTGTTATTTTATTCCATTTCTTTATGTTTATTTTTTACAGCTATAACATAAATTAAAAATATAAATAACTACTTATTTACGTTAAATATTATATATATATATATATATATTTTTAAATAAAGATGTTATTCAAAGGAAAATCATTAAAAATGTTATTAATGTTATTTTTATCGTGATTTTCCTGCAACTAATTATCTTGAATTTGAATAAAAAATTAGTTTTCGAATTTTATATAATAGTTTTTTAATATATTGATTAACAGTATTTTTTGTGATATTTCATTCATTTTAAATCCTAATCTTTTTTTATGCTAATAGTTGATGTTATTTAACTTTGATTCATGTTAATGAAAATTATTTTTGTAGAGATATATTACAAATAATTTATTATTTTAAAACATGATCGTTCAAATTTTAGTGCCGTTAGTATTTTGAATTTTATTTTATTACTCATCTTATCATTATAATCATGCAAACTTGACTTTTTTTCTATCAATAATTGAAATTATTCACTTTAGTCTATACATCATTTTGTATACAATAATTATAATTTTCCATTTTAATGTATACATCATTTTCATCATGTCTATGTTAGAGTCAATGTATTATAGGGTACTTGAAAACAAAGACTTATAATGAACTGTGTTATGAGTTTCAATATTAAATGAAAAAAATAATGAAATAACTCTGCAATGTATTATTTATTAGTATAAACTTTTAGCAAATCCATGTAGTTATTAATTTGTGTTCCAAATCACAATCTTCGTAAGTACAGTATAGGGCTAGGCCCGAACAAGAACAGCCCATCAAGCCCGTATTAGGTTTGGAGGGTCTAATTTACTTGGCCCAAATTAGAAAGTGGCCCGTTCATGCGATTTTCACATTTTAATAAGAAAAACAAGTTTAAAAAATTAATTAAAGAATGTGCTAAGGACAAAACATTTAAAGAAAAAAAAAAGAACAAATTTATTATGTTTTTTATTATCATGATATTTTGTTTAAATTTATTGATTATTATTATTTTATTTTATTTTATCATACCTAACACTCTCCATAGTATCTAAATTCTATTATTTCAAAGCACGTGAGACTTTCAAACTAATGGTAAAATCCTCTTAATTAATTAAATAATTATGAATTTTTAGTGGTCAAACTTCGATATTATAGAATCTTCAATCATTACTCATACACATTAGTATCTTTTAAACAAAGAAAAAAGATAGAGTAAAATTAACCTTTTAAATTTTAAAAAATAAATAAATTGGTTTGGTAGACATCATGACAAATTGAAAGCATGGGAAAAAAATGATTTCTATATTAATTATTAAGTTTGTAAAATAAAATTTCTTATTTTTTGTATTTTGGTTAAAAGTCACGTCTTAACATTTGTGTATATTTATTTCAATAAGATGTTTTCAATATAAAGAATGTATTGTTTTCAATATTTATTTGAATAAGTTTACGATGAATAGTTTTTTTTCTTTCTTCATAATTCATTTTTACTTGCTTCTAAACTTTTTCTTCATAAGGTTTATAGAGTGTTTCCAAACTTAAAAATTTATTGATTAGATTAAAATAAACCTAGATACTAATCATATTATATATATATATATATATATATATAATTTAGCTAATAATTATTATTCTTTTTATAAATTTATTTATAAATATATTAGTTTTATTATTACATATTTCTGGAAAACTAATTGATGTATCTCGCAATAATCTTCCTCCCAGTAATTATTCGACTAGAAATTGAATTTTCAATCTGATACCAATTATTGGATTATAAAAGAGTGTATAACTCAAAAATTACACTATAATTTTTTACTTTAACTTATGTGGTAAGACAATTGATGTACCTACCTATCACACTAATTAGTTTTTCTGAAAAATCTAACTTAGAATCTCCTTTTCATCACGTTTTTTCATAGAAAATATTCAAATCTGAACTTAATTTGAGGAGATTAAGTATGGATTAACAATATATCGGGTAAAATTTATACAAATCCTATGTTATATAACTTTATTTATTATGAATATTTGGATACGTGATTTTATTCTCTTTTTAATCAATTTTAGTGTCTACATTTAAAAAATTCAGAGAATTGATCCAATTGTCAAATTTGTACATGTTTATTTATTTTGTTTTGCATATTTTAATTAATTAAATTGTTTTTATAGTTTAATCAACTCAAAGGGTTAATACAAAACACACTAACACAAATCGTATTGATTAGTCTGCTATAGATAATTAAGGTGATTAGTGGTTCAAAATCCAACTCTGCACATAAAGCTGTTTGTTTAAAAAAGGAAGTTTGATCATTTGTTCCCACTTAACAAAAGCACTTTGAAAGAAAGAGAAGTTGATTGGTGACTTATTTTTCTTGATTTTGAACTGTCAATTATGCTAATAGCAACTTCACAGCCATAATCAATTTGTTTCTAAGGATTGCTAGATTATTTTATTCAAAAGGGAAAGAAAACAAAACTTACATCAGAAGTTGAAAAGTATGTGGAATCTGAAATCGAGATGAAAAGAAATAACTAGTTTAAAAAATAAACCACACCATTAATTGTCTCATGTTACAATAAACCAACTTAAATTAGTATTTGATTTGAATAAAAAATGCTGGAAACAAAGATAATGTGATCAATATAAAAAAATATCTATTTTTGATTTGACATAGAGTGATGTTAGGTGATCTTTTCCTGGTTCTGCATCATGGTTTGTATTCCCACAAATTCTGACTATGAATTGGCATTGAATGTGGAAAATGCAAAAGGGAAAAAAGGGGTGAATTGCATGTGTCAGGGGAGGTGTAAGTATTGAATACTGATGAGATTCATATTCCAGCTACCCACCATATCATCATCTTCCTTAACAAACAATCAAGCCTACCAATACCATCATCATATATAGCACCAAAAACTTGAGCAATTGCAAACTCACTCCTGAGATAGAAATGCATGTGTTGTGTTGTGCTTCATAATAATGCATATAAATAACTGTTAGTGCCCTCTCTTACTTAGCCAACCACACACAGAACCTCAAATTGATCCTCAAACTTGGGAGGTTCTTGGCACTCAGATCAGTGAGTGAAGTGGATAAGGATGACAAATCTCAGCAATGGCTCCTCCACCTACTCACAATCCTTTCTCCAGATTCCACCTGTAAAATTTACCAAGCTTTTCATCAATGGAAAATTCCTAGACTCTGTTTCAGGTTCCAATTACTTTCCTCATCATTTACCTCTATTCTACACCATCAGTAAATGTTTCATTATGTTTGAGACACAGATTAAATATTCTATATTACTTACAGTCCAAAGTTTTTTGGTTTTTTTTTTTTCTCATTTTGATTTGAGTAAAAACCATCATGGATGATAAATAAGATGTCAAAAAGTCCATACTATGTAAAATTCATCGTAATCATTACCATAAATATTATGGATACACGAATATAAAATGATTTAAATATATTTTCAAGCCACGAATAATGGAACAAATTTTATTTTTTCAATGACGGTACCAGCCCGAGTCCTTCACATAATAAGTATGTGATTTTTAGAAAAAAAAAAGAATCTTAAAATTTGAATTAACTATATTTTCTAATGAGTTGATTATATTTTATATTTATAGTGTATATGAATTAGAATATTTAATATAAACTATTTTTACATAAAACCAATGATTCGTGACATAGTATTATGTTTTATTAAAAAGTGGAAACATATAGGAAAGTATAAATATGTGAAAATGAGCTTAATGTGATTATAGTATTAGTTATGCTTGTAAACTTGCCTAATCATGAACTAGGATCATGATTCCTTCTTTTTCATGCTTGAATGCATTTTGAAAAACAAAAGGAAAAACGTTTGAGACTGTTGATCCAAGAACAGAGGAAGTGGTTGCTGAAATAGCAGAGGCTACCAAAGAAGATGTTGATATTGCTGTGAAGGCCGCACGTGAAGCATTTGATTCTGGTTCATGGCCACGCATGCCTGGTGCTGTAAGTTCATAATTAACTGAAAAATTGTGCACACATCACTACCAAAACACTTGAGACAAGTTTTCAACGTAGGACATTGTTTGTTCAGCAATACACATTGACAATGGTTGAAAACAGAAATTTAATTGTTTCCATATAAATGCTCTACAAACTATTCTAGCCTTTTATTTATTCAACTATGTGAGTAAAAATTGCTCTGTCAAATTCCTCTACACCTCTCTTTTGAGGTGAATTTCTGTTGGATGGCATGATAAGGATATATGAAATAGAGTTTGCAAAAGGTTAAAGCATTATCCAACTATAACTTCTGAGTAATAGCACTGCTCTCAAACAGTGAGCAACATTAACTAACTTGGTATGATCGTGGGATGTTGAACAGGAAAGAGCAAAGATTATGCTGAAATGGGCACAGCTAATTGAACAGAACGTAGAAGAAATAGCAGCATTGGACACCATTGATGGAGGGAAGCTATTCAGTTGGTGTAAGGCTGTGGATGTTCCTGAAGCCTGCAATATCCTTCGTTACTATGCTGGCGCTGCTGATAAAATTCATGGAAATGTTTTCAAAACATCTCGTGACCTCCACTTGTATTCTCTTATGGAACCTGTTGGTGTTGTTGGACATATTATCCCTTGGAATTTCCCCACGGTCATGTTCTTCGCCAAGGTCGCCCCGGCCTTGGCTGCTGGTTGCACCATGGTCATCAAGCCTGCTGAGCAAACACCTCTGTCATCACTCTTCTATGCTCATCTTGCTAAGCTGGTATGGTTAAACACCTTGGTTTAGTTGCCTATCAAACATGGCAAAAGTAACATTTGGTAGAATGATAAAATGAGACAAAACATAACATGTTGGATATTTCTGTCTTGTGATATGACCAAAATAGTGTGTAGTGTGAGACAACCCTTGCTCCATATTAGAAATCTCACATTGTTTAGTAATATACTGATATAGACCTTGTCCGATTGATTCCACACCCTTTTAATGGAATCAAAGAAAATGGATCACAAGTCTTTGGGCCAAATGCTACCTCAGGAACATTAGCATGTTAGATATCTGGGTAACTTGGAAATTTAAGTTTGGATTTTAGTATCAACTATCATTAATACATGAATGCATCTTTTCCCTTTTCATGAAGGCTGGTATCCCAGATGGAGTGCTCAATGTAGTACCTGGATTTGGCTCAACTGCAGGGGCTGCAATAAGCTCACATATGGACATTGATGCGGTAATTTGAGTGACAAGTTTATATCATTGATAAGTTGAAGGGTATTGCATTTGTCACCAACTTTTAAGGTGTCTTATGATTGTTATATTACAGGTCAGTTTTACAGGTTCAACAGAAACAGGTCGTAAAATAATGCAGGCTGCGGCCTTGAGCAATTTGAAACCTGTTTCACTTGAATTAGGAGGAAAGTCGCCAGTTTTGATTTTTGATGACGCTGATGTAGACAAGGCTGTTGATCTTGCTCTCTTTGGAATCCTACACAACAAGGTAGGTTTTCTTCCATGGAAATTTTGTTCCATAGAAAAGGCATAGACTTATTCTGTTTGAAACTCTGTAATTTTCAGGGAGAAATCTGTGTTGCATTCTCTAGAGTTTTTGTCCAGGAAGGGATATATGATGAATTTGAGAAAAAGGTAGTGGAGAAGGCTAAAACTTGGGTAGTGGGAGACCCTTTTGATCCAAAAGTTCAGCAAGGACCCCAAGTAATATTTTACTTCAAATTGGCAAAAGTGCACAACTATGTTTACAAGTATTTGAGTGATGTACCTTTATTATTAGTAACCCTCATATTCTATTTAAATCTTCATGTAACTACTTGAAAAAAAATTTGTTAATGTAATTCTCCTCTGAGATGATTTTCTACTGCAGACTAGTAAGGCACAATTTGACAAAATTCTTTCCTATATTGAGCATGGAAAGAGTGAAGGAGCCACCCTGTTGACTGGGGGTAAGCCAGTGGGCAACAGGGGATACTACATTGAGCCAACCATTTTTGCCAATGTTAAGGTGCATTTCAGTTATACAAGAAGCATGAAATAAGTTATCTTTGTCATAACTGAACAATTAACTTAATATTTTTCTTCTTTATGAAAATTCATTAAGGAGGACATGCTAATTGCACAAGAGGAAATATTTGGACCTGTGATGGCACTTTCTAAGTTCAAGTAACTCCATCTTATATTCCTTTGTACTTAGACTAAGAAAAAAAAAAGCTTGTTATTGTGCAACTGAATGTTAAATCAAGTATGTTATACATGCAACAGGACCATTGAAGATGCAATTAAGAAAGCCAACAGCTGCAAATATGGCCTAGCAGCAGGGATTGTGACCAAGAACTTGGATATTGCCAACACTGTATCAAGGTCCATCCGCGCAGGCATTATTTGGATCAACTGCTTCTTTGCATTTGATATTGACTGCCCTTTTGGAGGGTATAAGATGAGTGGATTTGGAAGGGATTATGGACTTGAAGCACTTCATAAATATCTTCAAGTTAAATCTGTTGCAACTCCTATTTACAATTCTCCTTGGCTTTGAAACTTTCATTTATATGTGTTTGTAAACACAATAAAATACATCATTTTTATCCACAACTTAATACTTCACTTTTTTTCCCTTTTTGGATGCGAAACAGCACAAGTTTTAGGCATTATTTTAGTGATGTAACTTATACATTTCAAAGCCTGTGGTGATGCTCCACTCTGAAGAACAATAGTTGAAACGCAAAATGTTTGACATCAAGATATAGGTAAAATACTCAGCATGCATAAAGAATAAAGAATACTCAGCATGCCTTTGTACCACTAGGACTAGATTGTTAATTTTGAATTCCATTAGTTTGAGATCATAGAGAGATTTATTAAGTTTGCAAACTTGTTTGGAAGAGGTTGATGACTTCATATAGATTTCTTCATAAAAATCTCCATCAAAAAGGACATTTTGGTGGAATTCATTCATTAGTGCTTTCTAAAACTAAAAGAAACCTACAAGGAAGAGTTTAGCAATATATGAAAATATTTCAAAGTATATCCCTCTGTAACAAATAAGACTTGTTTCAATTAAGGCTTGTATTGCTAAGGTGAAAAGAAAGTTTCTCATGTTTGGTGAAATGACAAATATCATAAAGATGCAAAAGCATGACTAGGAACATCTTTGTATTGAGAGAAAAGAGTTTTGATGCATATCACAATTGAAGAGTTCTTATAAATAACCAATTCTAAATTTATCACCTTATGAACAGAAATCCTTTATATCATTTCATAGACCAACTGTGCAATCAATCCAAAGAGCAAATTGTGCAATACTAATGATCATTGAAGTTCGAAGTCAACTAAGAATCAACAATGATAATTCTTTTCTATGAATATGGTGGTAAGATCAATGTTGATGAAAAGAAAAACTCAAAAGGGAAGACAATAAAAACAAATAGAGAAGTTGTATTATATATGATTATTGCGTTAAAGAAGAAGAATAACATCTATTTATATATACACCAAGAAAGGTAGAAACAAGAAACAAAATAGAAGGAAAAATTGTTGCAACTATCGCAGAAAATCGTTACAACAGAAAACTTAACATCATTAATTATTTTTTATTCTTTTCATCTAATGAGACACAATAATATAGCACTTAACATTTCAAAAATCACATATAACAGACTCACAAGTTTGAAAAATCACTTAATCTTTTTCTTCACAAGTACTGCAGAGCTAGAAGGATCAGCAAACTGAACAGAAAATGATCTAGAGAGGTTATGTAGCTCATCCTTTGCAGTGCCTTGGTCAAAATTCAGGGAGTAAGTGTATGGATTGTAAGGGACTTGCAGAAGTGATGCAGACTCAAACAACTTCTTCTTCTCTTTCTTGAGCTTCATCCACAACACTTTCCACCTCATTTTACTTGATATAATATTTGCATGCTCAATCTCATTGCAACAACATCTTTCTGATTGGACGATGTCTCTCTTGCATGAATGGCAATAGTTTCTCATATCCATGGCTTTACTGTAACGAATCATTCAAGTGTTCTCAACAATTTATGCAGATAAGCACGTGGTTTTTCTTTATAGGTTTCCTAGAATGTTGTTGTCCACCAAGTACTAAAAGCTACTCACAAAACCTCAAATGAACAAAAAAGTATTATAACTATAATCAAAAACACCCTACCCCAAAACATTACACCACCAAATGTTTCTACCTAGAATACGTGGATCACAATATTTTATCATATTTTGTAATGTATATTGTAACCTGGGGACATGGATCCACATGACATACTGCATCCTATCGCCTTATGGAGTTGCTTATGGGGCAACTTGCCATGTGAACTGATTTTCTTTGTCTTCTTTTGTAGCAGCATTCATATAATTTTTTATTTAATACTTAATGACTTGTTTCTTGGAGAAGTATTCTTAGGCAGAAAAATTATCAGAAAAATGAAGCATTTTCATTGTCACGAGTTACATTAATGAGCAAGAGAAAATATAAGCAAGTATGTAGAAATTTGAAGTATTTTAGGCAGTTGGGACAAACAAACATCTCAATCTCGAATGAAGATAAATTGTGTTTATCCAAATTATCTTGTATTATATTAATAGTCAACAAACTTTTAAGAAAATTTAAAATTGTTGGAATACACGAGAAGAAAAATATTGTATTGAGATAATTGTCGATATCCTAGAAAGCAACTTGAATGAACACTTGATATCAAGTTGTACTTTATTTGTGTTTCCAAAAGTTTGCATCATCGAGTTTAGACCACGCTTTCAAAGCTAAAAGCATTTTAAAACTTCACTAATAACAATCATAACTAAAACAAAGAAGATATTTTTTTTTCTTAAATAATCATTTTTATAATCATATTATTTGTCAATTTCATTGTCAACTAACTTTTGTAAAAAACCCATCTTCAAAAATAACCAAATAAAAACATAGAACGTGTCAGGGGTAGCTAGATTACATGGGATGACCAAATAAAAAAACATTATTGAGTATATAAAGCTAGATCTACAATCTCATTTCCCACATTGCTCACTTTTCAAAGTATATAAAGCTTTATAACCATAACTAACACTATACCTACCATTAGTTTCCTCTCTTTTACCACTACTCATCCATGAGTAAGTTTACCTCTACTTTTCCATTTCCCGCCAAGAACCTTCTGTTTACCTTCTTTGATGTAATAGTTATGTAATAAAAGCTCAAGCGTGACAGAGTAACATGCTTTTTCATAATCCACTTTGAACACCAAACACTGCATATTCATCATTTTTGCTTCACCTATCACTTCTTTGGTTAAGTCAACAGACCAAAATGGTCTGATAGAAAATTTAGTAAAAAAAGTAATAATTTTGGTATTAGTCTTTCCATCAGCAGGAGTTTCTCCAATTGTCGACACAGCAAAACAGTGTTGGTTTTCATCCTTCAATCCTTCCTCTCAAGCCACGCCTCCCCCATTACATTCAGGGAAAACACTAAATTTGGGGCACCATCAACAACGCATAACAACTTTATCCAACCCAATGATGTAATCAGAAGTAAAGGACTCACCTTTCCATCTAGAAGGAGGTGTAGATTGAAGCACAGATTCAAGATCATCATTCCTCGTACACACAAAAACGGGGACTTCAAAATCGCGAGTGTGACGAGGTTGTTTGCAGGAGAGGGGAAGGAAGGAATTGATGTGTGGCACTCTCACTCGTGCGGTACACATGTTGAATCATCCCCATGAATCCATCATTCCCTAAATATTCGACCATGCCTCAGTCTTTCACTGAAAATTTCGAAGCGTCTCCAAATGAATCGATATCATCATACTTTTTTTTTTCTTACTTGAAGAGACGTTCAGTTAAGATTTCAAATAGAATTGTGGAAAAATATTTAAGATTAGGAATAGAAAAATAAAAAATTAAGAATAATATAAAGAAAACTTGAATGAAAGGGGACGCAATATAGAAAGTTTCATTAGTTTTAACTATAATTGTCGCAAGAATTAAGTGAATTCTTATCAGATAGAAAAAGTATTCTAATAAGAAAATATTCTCATAAACAAAAAATTATACGTTCACTCTTTTTTTAATTTAATAATTATAAATTAAAGGATTTAAGATTTTCTTAGTTTCACCTTATTTATAATAAAAAAAACTTTGAAAAATTAAAACTAATTAAATATTAAATTAATAGTTTTAGATTCAAATTCTAACTCCATCCAAGAATTCTCATTAAATATATGTAACTAGTTTAGCTTCATCAATTACTTGAGTCTTTAGCACTTAAGTCTCGTATAAAAATAATCTTTTATTATAAACATTTTTAGGTCTTTCTAATTCTTACTTTAATAATTAATTTAAGTCTTCAATTAGATATTTATATTTCTTTATCATCACATGTGATTATTTATCTTTGTATAAAGTACCATTCTGAATAGATAATGATATTGACTCGAATTTCATCACTGAAACCAGTTTTAAGGGAATGACTGATTTAGATTGGTCATTAATAATATTTCTCTATTTTCTTCTCCTCCAAGATAGGTTTTACCTACTTTCTAATACTCTTTAGTAAAATATTCATCTTTTCCATAATGAATGACTCGGTCATCTTTTTGTATTCTTTCTTAGTCTGATCCACGTGCCGACTTGATTTTTATCATCTTCTTAAAATCTAAATCTTCTACTACCCTAAATAATAACAACAAAGTTGTATCATTTCTCATATGTATTGATAGACAATCTTTTGTGATGTCCTATTCTTTGTAACCGTCCTCTGTCACTTTTTATAGAAAAATGTCAATCTTCATCGATGTAAAAAAAAAATAATAACAAATAATTTATAAAAATTAAACATTATCTAAATAATTTGTAGATTCTTCATAACCATCTTTTATCACTTTTCATAAAAAAACGTCAACCTTCGTCAAAATACAAATAATTTGATAACAAATAATTTGTGAAAATTGAATATTATCTAAATCTTTATTATGAATCGAAAACTGGATTAAATATGTGTATTATACCCACGAAAACTCTCTCTTACACCAAAATATTTATTCCTTATAAATAAAAAACTCCTCCACTAATTATCATTTCTTGTATTTTAACACCAATTATTATTTTTGCTTAAAATGGCACTCACACTTACGCGGTTCTCACACTCAATAACTATTCATTTATTTTCTTTTCTTTTTCTTTAATTTCGTCCCATTAATTTTTAAGTAAATGTAGGCTCTAGAATTAATATTGTTATTTTTGTCAAAGTAATTACTTATTTAATAGAAAAGTGAAATACGACGTATAATATTATTAATATTATCGTGAATAAGCATCTAAATTGATTCTATTAACGTGACGTAAATAATTATGATAGTTTTAATTTTATGTTATATTATTTATTAGATAAATTAATAACATTTATGAAAAAATATTCGTTTATCATTTTGTTAAATAGAAAAGGAAATCATATTCGTTGAATATTTTTCTAAATAAAAAAGGATAATGTTGAATGATTTTTTTCTTCTAAAAACTAAACTAATATTTAAAATGTTATTGTTGTATCTAGAGGCATTAAATAATGGGTTGTAATTCTTGAAGTTCCTAAGATTCAAATTCACACGTCTTGACCAATTTGTATGCGTGTATGAGTAGGAAATCCATTACTTTTTATATATATATTTTTTAAATCTTCAAATATGATTATTTTTTAAGCATAAGAGTATCATGGGTCCACTTTTTCTAAACCGAGTATTAAAAAAATGGAAGCTTGTAAATAGTGAAAAGAAGGTTCCTGGTACATGGTCACGTACAACAACAAAGGAGGAAATTTTGACCAAAAAAAGGAAGAAGAAAGAATCATTCTCTGAAGAAAATGTATCGGAACAAATAATATTAATCTTCATCAGTAATAATTACAGCACAAAAATTCTGAATTTTTCTCTAACCATGACAATAACAAGAAGAAGAGAAATTAATGAATCATGTATGTGATGCCCAGAGCCACCACCATAAGAATGTAAGCAACTCCTTGATCAATTGCAGTGCCTGTGACAATCAAAGCAAACCAAGATCAATAAATTGTGAAAAAAGAACATAAAAAAGGAGGAATTTTGTTACTTGATATTGATTAAGGAAAATCAAAAGAGAGAAAAAAAAAAAAGTGAAAAAGGTGGAGTTTTTGAACTGACCGTCATTGGTAGGAGGAGGTGCCGGAGAAAGAGGCAAATCCTGAGCATGACCCAGATGAGAGATTGCCATGAACAACAAAGCGAGAAGTGGGAGAGCGAAAAAGGCCACAGTTCTCATTTTTCCGGGAAAATGAAGCGAGAAAATGGTGGAAAATTTGAGCAAATGAAAGAGAGGAAGAGAAAATGTGTTATGAAGAGAGGAAAAGAAGCGTGGTGGTATTTATAGTAATGAGGGAAGAAATGAAGAAAAGGGGAAAGAAACACTGTTATGTTGTGCTACCAGAAACTTCAACGAAACAAAGAACCGAGTGAGTTTCAAACCGCGTCACCTGGTTATGACTCGGTTGGCGACTCGTTCACTCCGAATATTTTTAACATAAAGTATTAAAGCAGTCATAAAAATAAATTATACATTAATAGTAAATAACAAATAATCCTCACAAGTTTCTTCCCACAAAATTTAATGAAAGGAAAAATTCTATATAAAATAAAATTAATTTTTATATAAATTATGAAATTATTTTATATTAAAATATAAAAACATAATTTCTTTTATTTTTAATACACACTCTAGTATTAGTTAAAAATCATTAAAATGTATAACAAGTATATTTAAATAACAAGGGGAGTTTTATTGGAATTTTTAATTTTCAATAAATTTACATTAATAACAAAAAAGAAATTAGAAGAGAGTGGTTGGATATTTATCTTCTAGACTTTCAATTGTCTTCTTATGTATAATAAAAAAAATTATTTGAGAAGAAATAATAACATTTAATTAAATTTTATATTGAAAATGTATTGTTAGATAGTTGAAAATTATTACTTATCCATGTTTTTCTTATGATAAGCATTTATATAACACATAATTTATTTTATTTTATTTATAAAAAATTGATAATATTCGATTATACGTCATATAATAGTAGATGTTACCTAATTTTTGTTGTTGTAATATTGGGGAAAGGGATGTATAATTAATAGATATTATGATTACCTAATATCTTCTTGTCATATTGGGGAGGGATATGTTGCATGTGTGTCTATTTTTGCCTTAGAAGTTTGGATTCTCAGAAATAACCACCAAAGATTCAATTCAACCCCAAGTTTTCTAGAATATGTTTCTCTTTTATTTTTTTTATGTTGTTGTCATGTTTTCAGTCAAGAAAAATTAACATTCAACGTTTCAATAGTAGTTATCACACTAACTCCGTGAAATAAAAAACTAAATAATTACCTTTTTCAAAATAAACAAAGTTAAAAACGCACTTCATATAAATATTTACACTCGGAAGAAAATGGAACATAACCCTCGTTTTCACATCCTATGATATTGCCATGGTCAAAGGTGATGTGCTGAGATGAGAGGCATGTCAAACTAAAACTTGGAAAAGTCAAAGGATCATTGAACTTTGAAAATGAGACATTTTAGAAAGAAACAAAAAAATCATCAATTAATGTATTATTTTCTTTTAATATAGTCTGAAAAATATATATAAGAAATTAGAAAAATATTAAGAATTGTGTTATATAATTTCTTAAATATACCCATATTGAGATTAAATCAAAAATTTCTTAAAATCTTAGTTTTAATTGTTAATAAAATACACATGCATCCAATAAGAAAATACATTTCCTATAGAAGTGTTATGTAAAATCTTAATACTTTATTAAGTAAAACCACAGTTTTATTCTTAAAAGTTAATTAATCATATGATATGTGACCAATTCAACTCAAATTATTATAGATTACGATAATCATAATGTCTCTGAATATTCTTCTGCAAACTTATTTTATTTCTCACCACTGAAAAAAATTGGTCAAATTAAAATAACTTTAAAGTTGAACTCAATTTTGCTACCCATAAAGTTCAATCAATCTCTAAAATCTCGTATTTATTTTAAATGGAAACAATTCAATGATATGAACACAGTTCTTCGACACTCTTGATGTGTTATTTGTGATAGTTTTTAGCCTTTTATATTTTAGGAAACATATATTTTGTAAAAAGAGTTCCAATTAGTTTATTATTTTCAAAATTAATTAATTAAAACTAGCATTAATATGAAAAGTTTTACCAAAAAATGTTTTAGATGTCTTCTAAGTCAATACCAATTATGGTTAGAGGAGGAAAAATGTAAACTTTGAGAAGTGAAAGAAATAACAGAGCAAACTTCATGGAAAAAACATTTTAATACCAGGTAACATTTTTCTTACATTAATGGTAACATGGCATCTTGGCAATCAACAATATATTCCTTTTCCATTAAACTTTTTCAATTCAAAAGTGGATGAAAGATTGTAGATCATATCACATCATGATCATGAATAGTAGGCATGGTTACCAAATGAATAATTTGTATAATTATTTATTCTATGCAAAATATGACCCTTTGATGATGGGTTAACTTTCACGTAGTGCCAAACATGAGTAAGATGCCATTTGTATGGCATAGTAGGCATCATCGATGATGATCCTGAGATTTGACGCACCAATTTCACAAACCTGGTTTTAGTATCTAGAGAGAAGTTTGGACCAGGGTTACGCACCTAAATTGTGTAGAACATGCAAGAGAACAAATAAAAAAGCTAGGTTGAGAATGTGACGAGGAATTTCATCATAATATTATCTATTTTCATTAAATTGTGCGAAAAGAAAACAATTTCATTGAATTGTTATGTATACAAAATCTAGTGGGAACTGTTCACCCCCGAAGAGGTACATGCCACGCAGGATCTGTTTTTGAGTTAAAGCCACTGAATAGATCCACGTGGAAGAAGCAAAGACAGATGCCAAAAGAGACATGCTTGTTCATCTGAGGTGGGGCCACACCAGTTTCCAACTTTTGTCCATGCACAGGATGTGGTTCGGCTTCACCTCTTCTGTACACATACACAAAATGAAACCTCAGAACCTCTATTAGTGCTTCCAACTTGCACTGCAAACACACACACACACACACACACAATCCTCTGTTCCAGGGAATCTATCTAACTAAATGCCCTTTCCCTTATGATGCCAAACACCTAACCCTTTACTTTCCCTTTCTTTTCTTCTTCTACAATGTCATATTACCCCTCAGATTCTTTTCTTTTTCAACTCTAAACTTGTCAAAGTAAGGCACATTATATATGTGCACATGCATACATATTATATATATAAATATATGTATGTATTGTATTGTACCTACTGTTAAGAAAAGGTTGAAAGCAGAAAGAAGAATCAATGTGTCACCCTGGAGTTCCTTTTGGGAACAGAGAAGGCTTGATGGTGCACAGAAGAAGGGTTTTATCAGCGGTGGCAAGGCATGCAGCGAGGCAGATTCATGATGGCGGCAGGTCTGGAGAGAGCGGTTCGGCGAAGCGATGCGTGTGCTCGCCGTCGCAGCATCCGGGGTCGTTCCGGTGCCGGTTGCATCACGGCAAGTATGTATGGCGTGTTAGAGCAATTAAGTAGTCAGATGTATCTAATTATAAAGGCTTATAAGCATGCATGTACATAAATAATCCATCTTTCTTCCTTCATGTTGAATGATGAAATAATTTGAGATCACAGAGGTTAGAGCTGCTTGCATTTGTGGTAAATAATAATTAAAAACTTCTGTCTTTCTTTTTGTTTTTTCTTTTGTGCCAATTGTGGCAGGAATCTTTCATCATATAAATACAGGTTTGAAAAAAAAACAAAAAACAAAAAGAACTCGTTGCATTAAGCAAGACATGACACTATATTAAACGAGAGAAAAAATCTACAAAGGGATGCAAGTCTCTACTATATTCCTCCATTTTATATGTTGTATTTCATCCGTTAGATTAGATCTTGATCAAAGGGAAATTTTGACATAATATCTCAAATAAAACACATACATCTTTAATTGACTCAATCCACTGGTCGTAATATGCATTATTTAGGAGCAAGACAGTAGAATGAGTTACAGAGCATTTTTTATTTATTTATTGTGAATAATATAACATCATGACGGCATTACATGCTGCCTTTCATCATAGGGGAGAATAAAAGGAGATCAAAAGCACCCAATCTTTAAAGTACGACGTAAAAAACAAGGTTTTATACCCTTGGTCTAGGTTCCCTTTCAAACAGGGCAAGTGTGCCACCACCCACAAATCTACTTTAGAAGAACCCATTGAGAACAGAATATTTGTTAGAACAGAGACTGCTACCAGAAATCTGATGCTTGATGGCAACCCACGAACCACTGATGACGACATTCCACCAGGAAATTGCAATTGAAAAATTCAATCTAGCTATTTTAATATCACATAGTGGTAGGACCCCATGCCTACGTACAAAGAGAGGCATTCTTTGCCCACGTTTGCTCCATACATTCAAAGAGGGCATTTTTCACATAAAATACTAAAACAGAATAGACTACAAATGTCCAGGAAATTCAACAGCATCAATAAAGCTTCATCAATGAAGTCCAATCTCACAATAAAATCTGCTATAACTAAATAAAATGGGCTGTGTATTGCAGAAGCTCAGTTAAAAACTAAGAATCATCTTACTAAGGTAAGCTACATAATATATTACACACCATTCAAAGCGTCAGGTATTTCAAGTTGGACAAAAAGATAATGTTTAAGTATATAAGCATGTGAGGAAAGCAAATCGCATGGATAAACCACTACTCTATTTTTTAAAATTATTTTGTTGTGAATAGGTAGTTGTACATACTGGTCACACCAACCAGTGGAATAAAAACACTTCCAAAACAAAACTTAACTAAAATCCAGGGTGTGCACTGTGAACATATAGGCTCGGCATTTAAAAGGAGAAGTAAAATAAAATTATTAGGGAAGATATATTTTTATTTCTGAACTACAAGACTGACAAACTCCCAGGTACCATTCTCATTAAATTTACCTCATACGAGGGTTAAATACAGATTGCAGGATGTCTCTAGTTAACCATTATTTACAAGGGTGTGGAACCATATACAAATGATACAGCACGCTATCAGCAATGTAATGAATACGAACACCACAACCACCAGCACTGTATATAGACAGACAATGCTAAAGATTAATACCGCATCATCATGTATCTCCAACTTCAATATCTGCGCTCTGATCAAGAGGATCACCCAGTGACTGAAGCAAATCAATAATGGATTAGCAAGTTTTATATATTAAATTCAAATATGCAAAGTTACAGAGAAATATGAAACAAAACCTAATGAGGCAGAAGAGCTGCATATCCAAAACTTACAAAAATATAAAGTACCAAACCAGAAGCTCAGACTATAATCTAGTTCAACCTTAAACTTTTGAAACTGCGTAAAAGCAACAGTAAATAAAGATGATGGGTACCGAGGGTAAATTCTATGAGAAACTCAATCCTCCACCAGGGGTACTCCAGGATTTAGGAAACATGGATAAGGGTTAAGACCAAAACGCTCCTAGGCTGACAAATATTGACTCAAACTATATTCCAAAATGAAAAATGCCAACTTCAGTATAAAAGGCATGAAACGGATATCCTTTGAAGTTTCAAGTATTAGAGGATGGCTTAGAGCCATAGGAAAAAAATAGTTTTATGATGGTGTGTCACTAGTACAAGCATGCAGCTAGAAAACGAATAAAATATGACTAACTAAACAAAGGCAGAAATATCGTAACATAAGCCTTATATAAGAACGGGGAAAAGAAAAAGGGTCCTATACTGCAGTGCAATTGCACTTTTACAAACAAAATGAGAAAATAAGGTTCCAGTCTAGACGGAAATGAGGCGCTCAGTGATCACAGTTATGCATATAGAAGAACCCTGTAATCTCAAAGTATTTTGTATGGTGGTTTAAACTCCTCTTTACGAAACACAGCCAATAATTGAAGAGAGCCCTCTAGGGTAATAAAACATAATTTAAGTTAAATTTGAGCAGTTTCTCAAGCATTCTGGTTTCTCTCTGCTGGGTATTAAAAAATCAGTTATGCATAACAGCTAAGTTACAAAAGATCTCTATGGTAAGAGTGTAGGATATGTGCTCTCAAGTCTTAAGTTAGTATACGTGTCTGCTATATAACTTGGTTTTTAACTCTCTTGACAAATAAGGGTGGTTCACGTATCCAATCCATCTAGGCAGTAAGAGCAAAAGGCGTTTGATAGTAAGGGAAAGAGAACTTTAATACTTGTGTCAAGAGTACACAAGAAGATATAAAAGAGACATGCACATTGCATTTGCATCTAAATATTACTGGCTAAGTAAGTATGCATTTCAGTTGAATAATGGAAAGAATCAACAAAACAATTTCTGTGCATAGATGAATAAGATCATTCCTGGGCCATGAATATGCAGACAGAATTGTAATTTGCAAATGATAGACTGATAGGAGAAATAATAATCCTCACCTTAGGATAACAGTCTTGACGTACAATTGTTTGCTGGTTTATGTTCACGTACACTTCGCATGACACCGTTGCCTAAATTAAACATACAGTATTTCAGATATAATGGTATCATATATACAAAAGCATTCACATTACTCATGTCAATTTCTAGTGAATACAACATCCAACAAGTTCCACCCATCAAATACGAGATTTTAAGCTTTACATTTCCAGTAAAAAAATAACAGTGATAATAATATTATTTTACCACCATTTCTCTCCTACCCTGGCTAAAGTAAACAGACAAAGCTACCTACAAACAAATTACACGAGGTTCCGATTGAATTACATCCGGAGAAAAAAATTCACCTTCATCCCCTAAAGCATCTTTCAAGTAAATCAAATGCAAAAAAAACTAACTAATCCACTCATGGAAAATTCTAAATAGTATGAAACAAAAAATGAAAGTAACTAATCTAGCTTACCACAAAATAACTTTAAATCCTCCTACAAAATACTCCTGCTAGACGAAGAAAGTTTTAAATGTTTTTTATGTTAATTTTTCCAGCTCATTAGACACATTTACTGTTTCATTGTATGCTTTCTTCATTTAAAAATTCCCCTATATCAAAGAGCGTCTGTGCAGCGCGTGAAATATTATCTGTTTTCGAGTAAAAAACACAATCGAAAATGAAATAAAAGATGTACCTTCAAAGGAACAGTGAAGAAGAAAAGTCCCAATTTCCCTTCAACTCTCGTGTCAGCGTCAAACGGAATCACACCCTTAGCGATATCTTCTAGCAGGTAGAACGCATCGTAGATAACCTCAAACCCGTCGACGGTGAGCGTGGCGTCGACGTAGGAGGAGGCGCGCGCCCTGATGCGTCCATCTTCGCCGGCGGCAGAGACAAAGCCTATTTGGCGGCCCCGGTAGCCAACGGAGACGTCGAGGGAGTCGTAGGATAGGGAGAAGAAGTCTCGGTTGCGAACTTTGACGGTGAGGGAGAAGGAGAGGTCGAGAATGGGCTTCGGGTTGGTTCGGATCCCGATGCGATTGAGTCGGATCCGGACGAGGCGGATCTCCGGGTCGGAGGGGTAGAGGAGGAAGGCGACACCGGCAAAGAGGAGGAAGAGGAAGAGTGCGAGGGAGTAGAGGATGCAGCGACGGCGACGGCTATTGAAACGAGGATGGTAAGTGGGGAGAAGAACGACAACGTTTTGATGGTACGGGTTAGGATAAGAATAAGGATTAGGGTGAGGGTTAGGATTTGAGGGAAGGGGCGAGTAAGAAACGAACTCGTCCTTCCCGGTCATCTTTCAATTTCAACGATAATATCGTGTGGTTCTTTCTGGGTATAACCACGTAAATCAGAATATATACAATACAAACACAGTTATAAACTATAATCCTTCCTTACCTTAACTCTACACAACAAATATTTAAAAAAAAAAATTACACACAAAACTAAGACAACTTAATTTGTACAATTATGTGTTGGCATCTTTTAATGGGTGAGTACATTATATAGACCCAAAAGGATTTTGTTCCGTCTGACAATTTCTTAAGATAATACAACTCTTAGCTGTGTATTTATATATTTTCAAAAAATATATATATATATATATATATATATATATATATATTAGTATTTATAATATAGGTTCTTATAATATTTTTAAACAATTCTTACAAAAAATATTTAAGAATCAAAACAAATATTTCATTATAAATTTTATAAATAAGTTTTTTTTAATTTTTTTAATTAATTATAAAAATATTTATTTTTATTCTTATATAATTTTTATTGAATATGTTTTTATATAAATTTCTAGAAACTAAAAGTATAAATTTTATATAAATAAAGATTATTTAATCATCATTTTAGAAAATCATATTAAATATATATATATATATATATATATATATATATATATATATATATATATATATATATATATATATATAGAAAACAAGGAGAGAAGATCGATGTAAATGTTCTTACATTCCCAATAAATAATTTTGATGATGATTTAAGTCAACTACATTCAAGTCAACATCATTCAAGATGAATTAAATACAAGTTAAATTTAAGACGTCGGTAACAATGTGAAACTTTTCCTTACATGCCAAAATATGTTTTTGATAAAGATGTTGATTCAAACAAGTCCAAGATGATTCTTGAAGACTAGATAGAATCTTCTTAGAATGCTTGGATATGGAGGTATAAGTTAATGAACTAATATTATGCATAAGTCTCCAAAGCACGAAGTGTGATAAAATTCATAACATGATATTTTTAATCTGTCATAATAAATTATGATGCATCAAAAATGGAAAAATGATTTTCTTTGTCATAATTGATTATATTGGTAACATAATCAATTATGACAATTCAAATTTGAAAAATATATCTATTTTGAAGAATAAATGTTTTTAAATATATCTGATTTTTATTCAGCGAAAATATTAATGTCCAATTACCATTTTTTGATGTTATTTCTCTATTTAATTAAGTTTTGATGAAAAAAAACACAATTACATAATTCAAAAATACAATTTATATATCAATTTTGAGAACGGAATTATGAGAAGACAACAAAGATATTTTATACCTTCGAGAAAACTCTTACTTTATTGCCTTTTATGTTATTATTGACTCACAAATAAATTTTTAATTTGTATCTATTCACTCTTTATATGTCATTTGTCTAATATATATATATATATATATATATATATATATATATATATATATATATATATATATATATATATATTTACGAAATCTATGAACAATGGGTTAAGCATTCAAGATTAAATTTTAGTCCTTATTTTCTTTTATCAATATATTGTTCAAGTTGATTTGTTAGGAGAGATTTAGATTAATGTAACTTATCTGTAAAAGTGAATTTGCGATGATTCTCACACAGTAAAAAACCCTCACATTTGATTGGAAAGAAATACGTTGGTTTGTACAGAAAATGAGATAAATTATCCAAAATAACTTCATCTACCTAATCGACTATGAAAAACTGCGTACACAATTTTAATATAAATTTATTTGTTTAATTAAAATCGTGTTTCATAGCTTTAGATATTTTTAATTATAATTAGAATCATATTAAATAATATTAGTTATATCTAATATTAAAAAATATAAATTAAATATTATACTTTTTTACATTTAATATTATATATTAAAAAAATTATATATAAAAATTGATTATATATATATATATATATATATATATATTATAATACAATTTAGTAATAGATGTAGAGAAATTAAAACACTGTGAAAATAGTGTTTTTATCTTTTTATTTTAAAATTTAATAAATAATTTTTAGAACTACAGAAAAAAAGTTTAATCATTTTATTAATTTTAATAAAAAAATATTAAAATTGTATTTAACTTTTTTATTAATTTTATTAAAATAAAAATTCATAAATAAACATTATATTTTGTAGAGTATAACAAAATAAAAATTATTCTTTTTAAAATTAGATTATGAATTAAAAATATTATATTTATCAAAATAAAATAAAAAAACAAAAAATAATTTTAAAATCAACATAATAATTACTCAAATTAAATTTTACCATATCTTTTAATAATTACATCTTTAATTTTTACTTAATTTATCTATTTTATCTCTTAAAATTAATTTGATAATTATACTGAAAATATTATTATTCAATTATTTTATATTTAATTATATCTACTATAATAAATTCATTTAAATCTTTTCAAATACACATTATTTTTTACAATCTCATAAATCAAATCATATTAAATTTACTTTTTCCTATCTCACTCCATTCAAAGATAAGTTTAGTTAGAAATCATGTGATCCATATATATATATATATATGGAAATGTCTTGTAAAAAAACTACATTCTTTTATTTTATTTCTTATAACACATATTCAAATATAAATAACATTTTATAATAGATATTGTTTTTATTTTAGTTCTTAATAATATTAAATATTTTTATTTAAAATTTCCTTTTTAAAAGAGTTTAAAAGTTAATTTTAAAATATTTCTTACTACACTAATTTTGAAATAGTTAAGAGTCAATAAAAAATGTAATTTATATTTTTTCTTCTGTGTAGTTATCGAATTAGTAGAAGATTTTATTTTTATTTATATATCGTTGGAAACTTTAGAATAATATTAAGTATTCTTTTATTAGTTATATTTTTGTTTTATATTTTAATCTTCATTAATTAAAGTATATGTACTTGTTATAATATATAAATAAAAAAATTCAGCAAATATTTCATTAAAATAAATAATTTTATTATATATAAAAACTTTATCGTTAAAAAACAAACCAAAAGGAGTAGTAGAGAAAATACTTTGTGATGCTTAGAAAATAAAAAATAGTAAATTTTGTTCTAATTCAATTAAAAAAAAACATTTTCTTTGAAGCTTGTATAAGTATAAATATATTCTTTAAATTATAATATATTTGTTTGTAATTTAATATATAATATAATTACATTTTAAATATATAGTTATTTTCGTGTGTAGTAACCCTATGTTTCTCCGTTTGTTTCGTGGATAAGGTGTAGTGTCCAATAATTCAGGTTCCTTAATAGATGTGAATCATGTGACAGTGACCGTTTTAGTTTTTATTTTTATTGGGACACCACTGATTTATTTTTAGGTATATGACAGTGACAGAATTTTTATTAACAAGTAATCTATCCAAATATCTTAAAGAATTGAAATAATCAAAGTGGTTTAGAATAACTAGGCTTGTGACAGTGACATCAATTCTAGTTTGTTCAGGAAACTTTTTCTTAAAAAAAAAATTCAGATAAAAAATCAGAATAATATCCATATAACATTTAATATGAATCTAAAAAAAAACATATATATATATATATATATATATATATATATATATATATATAGGTACACATTAAAGTGAATTATAATAATCTTCTGTGAAAGATCATTGACCAAAATGTACATAATTGGTTCAAAATTCACACGTAATGATAAAAATGATTTATGTAATAGAAAAAATATTTTTGATTTTATTAAATGTAAATATTTATTGATAATTATAATATTATGAATAAAATTTATCCCTGTCTAATCAATTTGGAAAAATTTATAAATTAAAAAAAATCTTTATTCTGTTAAAACACGTTGAAATTTATCACATTTTTTAATTTATATAATTTCAAGAATGTTTAATAAATTTAAATTATTGTTATTAATTCTTACTACTTATAGTAATATAAAATTTGTCAATTAACTATTTACTCTTACACATGTATTAGCATTTTACACAATTTAAATCCACAGTTTTTTTCTCTCTTTATTTTTCCTTCGTATATTATTTTTCTCTCGTTCTATTTTACTACCTTCTTCCCCTGCTTTGTATGAAGCACTTTATCGTAATCGTAATAATTTTAATCAAGGGAATAGGCCAAAAAAAATAATTAATATGACTTTAAATTTATAAAACATCAATAATTATGAACCAAAAATGCATATTTTATAAAGATCCCCATCAAAATTTAACATACTTGGGATTTTAATATTTGAAATGCAACTTGCATAGGTTTTTTGGAATGTATTTTTACTAATTTTTGTTCTTGGAATAAGAAGGTTGTGGAAAGAGGAAGAAGGGGACAAAGGAAAAAAAAATGGCTGTTAAAGGAATGTCAGTGTCTTTATCGAGATTCAAGAGCCATTGGTTTTGTTCTGAGAGGGTGGGGTGGTTTTTCTGGTATTAAGTTGACTTCAATAACTACATGATTGTCGTCATTTTCAATGTTTTCGATTGCAAAATTGTTAAATTCATAAGCCATTCAAAATTCATCTATGTTGTTGTCCAGAAAAATCATATCATTAATCAAAATGGCTCAACCAAGCAAATCAATTGTCCTATTTCTTCTCATCAAATCATTTTTTCTTTTTAAATTTCTGGTGAATCACAAACCACGCTATTCCTTCTCTTCTCCATCACAAAAAAAAATCTCATTGCAAGAATGAAATATATTCCATGACATGAATCTCATGATCTGGTAAAACATACCCTTCTTTCTCTTACTGAAAAAGAGTATAGTATAATGTAGAGGATCTCCCCCCTTATATTTAGAAAAACCAAAACTAAAGTTACTTGAAAATTGAAATCTATCAATAGATTTGATTTGTTCCTTAAAGTAAAAGTGAGTATGATTAGATGAGAAAGAGCTAATCTTGTATTTATGTGATTGATTACAAAAAGTTCGAAAAAGTTTAGTACAAAACCAGGGTTAAGAGATAGTAAAAAAGTTCCAATCAATCACCAGATAACAACACTGCCAAAACTCAAGTAACTGATAAAGAGTTGCAAGCAATTGAAGGATTCATATCATATCATATCATATGAAAAAGGTACACATGAACACATAATTATAACTCACAATATATAGCTTTAATTTGTGTTAACATGAGCAATCGAGAGCATCATCGAGATCAGCAAGTGGAGTCAGAAACTACATGCTTATTAGCAGGCATGGATTTGGAGCGTTTCATCCATGGTGATGCTGCAGGGCCACGATGCAAACGACACCGGAAGGACCCTTCATGTGTCGTTGGTGAGCACAAACACTGCCCTTTCGGCAGCGATCCCGCCGCGCCGCCGCCGCCGCTGCCACCACCGCTACCACTGTCACTCTTTGGTGATGTGGAAACAGTGAGCTTGTTGCCCTGACCCTGAGATGCCATGAATGAAGATTATGATGGTGCTGGTTTTGGTTCGAGCTTCTTCAAGTTGGTTTTGAAAATAGGACTTTTCTTTACATGGAATAAAACATCCAAGGCAAAGATAGACCCTTTTAAATACTTATAATAATAATAATAATAATAATGGTTTTGCATATCTATAAGATCTATCCATCTTTGGAGATAAGAGAAAGACGAAAAGAAGGAATCCAACGGTTGATGATTGAATAAAAAAAAGATACAAATAAACTATTATAACCAAAATATTTATTAATAAATGTACAAGGGGACAAAACACAAAGAGAAAAATGAATCCTAATCCAATCCATACAAATATACTCCAATATGAATTGTATGAATTAAAATTAAGTTTTACTTTTTTTTTTAAGAATATTCATTTTTTATTTATTTAAAATTTGATCTTTTAACAAAAAATCTTATCTCTTTGAATATATTTCCTTGATTCGGGATAGCTGAAGTTTAATCTGACTTTAAGATATTGACACGAGATAATAAGAATATTTTTTGGACAGAATAATAATTTTTTTTGGTAAATCGAGTTTTAAACTCTTTGTATAATCTAAGATTGATTAATGTATATATACTTTACAGTAGATTGTGTTTATTAAAAATGAAAATAAAGATTTAAAACTAATAAATAAAAATAGGGATGAATTAGGAATAAAGTAATAATTATAGTGTCGGGGACCCAATTCCAGAAGGAATCAAGTGGTAGAACATGGAAATGGATGAGAGATTGAGAAGGTGACCACGTGGGAAGTTCGTGCTTTCATATGCCAGATTGCACACCTGGCACTGTTATGCTCAATCAAATTAAAATATTCAACAATATTGAACAAAATAAAATAAAATACAAGTATATTGGAGAACATCTAATTATCGATATAATCATATGGAATATTAGAAAGAGAATTTCTTATTTATAAATGTAATATATTTTTTTAGTAATTTCATAAGTTTTATATTATTTAAAATTAAAATAATTTTTATTTTTTTATTTTTTTAAAATAAAATCATAATAAATTAAAATTTTAAGAAAAATAATATTTTAAATATAATAATTGATTTTAATAATATTATCATAAAAGATATAAAGTAAAGAAACTTCTTTCTTAAACAAAATATTATATTAATATTAATTGAGAGATAAAAATTAAAATCTCATTTCACTCATTTATTTTAATTATTATTATGTCTCACATTATTTAAAAATTAATATATATATATATATATATATATATATATATATATAACTTCTTTTTAAAACATATTTTAAAAATAAAATCATAGACATTCTTCTTCCTAAATACACATCATTTTACTTTTTTTTTTAAAATAAAATCTTATACTCATCGTATTCTATTCAACATCCCTTCACACACAAAGTTCAGAAAGTGACTTGGCTAATAAATTCTACAAAGAATATATATTATTGGTCCTCCAGAATAATAATATGATCCAATAATTGTACCCTCATGAAATGTAAGCAAAAAATTGATAGGGATTTTATTGAGGGAATGTGTCATCTAGAGCATTTTTGTCTTCCAAATCATAGTTCATTACCCGAGTGTTGTTCCAATTCGTATGGATGTTCAAAGGGACAAAGAAAAAAATTACAATTGATACTTTGATGACGTGGATGTTTGTGGGGCAGAATTATAGTCTAATTTCATCTGGTCCAATATGTTGAAAAAATTACACACTAAACATTATAAGATGTTTTATTAAATTATTTTTTATATTCGTAACTGAATTTTGGTATGTTGAAAAAGCCTTTTATTTTATCATTAATTAACCTCAAACTACCAAAAGATTACTAGTGAAATTCTTTTAAAGGGTAAGTTTTTTCAAGATTAATTTTAAGAAATGTTTTTTCTTTTAATTTAAAAATAACATATGGGTATATAAAACATTTTTATATATTTTTTATTAATTTAATAGTTTAAAATATATTCATATTTTCAAAATCTTCTCCTACATGTAACAATATCAAAATTATACTTTATATATATAAAATTAAGATTTACATAGTAATTTAAAATATAAACTCCTTCAACACAACTCAAAGAAATATATACATATATATATTTATTACTTCAAAAAAAATAAAAATTATACTACTAGTTCCAAACTTATTTACTGTTGAAGTCTATCATTTTATTATAAAATTTGTTTTCGTGTTAAATCATTATCATTATAGTTAAAAACACATACAAAACAGATAGAGTATACTAGTAATTCAATTTAAGTATGCGGGATTTAAATATGAGATAAAACAACATAATTCAATTTCTAGTTTTCATATATCACATCACACACATATATACACTACTAGAAAAAACACATTTAGTCATCGAAATTAGCGATCGAATTTTTTCGGTCATGATTAGCAACCGATTCAACGACCACTTTAATTCGATCGCAATTAGCGACCGATTTAGCGATCAAAATATAATTTGGTTTTCACTTTTTTATTTAGCGACCAATATTTTGCGTCGCAAAATTTCGATCGCTAAATCGGTGACTATTTCATACTAAAATAAAAAAATCATTTAGCGATCGATTTAGCAACCGAATTACAAATTGAAATAGTGGCCGAATTAAAATCGATCAGCTAATGAGAAAATAGCGACTGAATTGAAATCGGTCGCTAATGAATATTATTTTTTTATTATATTTAAATTTATTTTTTTATAAATATAATTTAATTATTTTAGTATATTTTTTACAATTTATTTTTTAAAAGTAATTTATTTTTTAAAAATAATTTAATTTTTAAAATATACTTTAAAAATAAACTTTGGTCTCAATATTAACAAAATGAATTGTAATAAATCAAATTTATTAAAAATTTAAATTGTAATAAATTAAGACTAGAGTGATGTTAATTATTCAATACATTGTTTAAGAAAAGTTTAATAAAAATATTCTTGAATTTATTTTTCAATTAAAAATTTCAATTGAAATTAAATTATATTTTAAAAATTTATATTAAAAAAATTAAACACATCAAATTATCACATTTTAATTCCTCATTAACTTAATTAATTAAAAAATACAATTTTAATCAAATTATTACAATTTTATTTTATAATACTTTATTTTTAATCTAATTTTTAAATTTATTGCTTTATTATTATTAATTACTTAATCATGGTTGTTGTCATATAATTGATATACCAAAAAAATTTTATATCAATATACATTAGATAATAAATATATTATTTAATTAAACTATTGCCGACCAGATTTGTATATTGTAACCCAACAAGTGGAAAAACACATTCAACACCACTTTCATAACAAACTATTTACAAATTAAACAGCTAACGAACCAATTATTCAGCAATAAATTCATAAAAATTGTAGACTAAGATGAACACAGACGAGAAAGATACTTGGTCCGTATTTCGCGAGTCAACATTCGCTCAAGCGAAAATAACATCGCTCGAGCGACACCAACTGCATAAAATTGGCATTCTCAGGTTGTATTTCGCTTGAGCGACACTTGGTCTCACTCGAGCGATATCCGATGCACCAAAATAATCGATTATATTCGACAATTTTTTCAAATAATTAATTATAATCGATTAGTTTTCTAAATAATTGATTAGAATTGATTAGTTTTTCAAATAATAGATTATAATTGATTAATTTCTCAAATATATATTAAAAAATTTTAAATAAAAATATAAATTATTTAAGAATATTAATTATTGTAAACATAAAGTAGAACATGGGAGGAGATGAGGATGATAATATAATGATGGAATTGACAAAAATGCAGAATTGAGAAGTTAAAAAAGAAATATTGAAGAAAATAGAGATTTAATTATACTTTTAATAAATTTAACATAATAATAGTTTTGATTTTTATTTTTAAATATTTATTTTAATTTTTTAAAACAGATAAACTATAATTTTAGTTTCTAAATACTAAATTTAAAGAATTAAATTTATTATTATTTAATCTTATAATTTTAGTATTAAAAATTTAAATTATATTTTATTAAATTAAAATAATTACAATATATTTTTCTACTTTGAGAATGGAAAATATAATTAAACTAAAACTGAAAATAATATAATACATTTTTGAACTCTTTTTGATTAATTTTTTTTCCTAATTTTTTATAAAGTCAATTTTAATATTTAAAAGTATTTAACATTTTGCTTTCTGAAATGTTTTCTGTATTACCAAATTTAAAAACATAATATTCAAAAAAATAGTTAATATAAACTATATTTTAGATAGCAGTTCCACGTTAACCGCTATCTAAATCAGTATTTTAGATAGCGGTTAAGGTTTAACCGCTATTAGATGTGCACTTGTAAGAGCGGTTCAAGTGGAACCGCTATCATATACAACCATTATGATCGATTACATTTTCAAATAACCAATCATATTGGATAATTTTTTCAAATAATTAATTATAATCGATTAGTTTTCTAAATAATTGATTATAATTGATTAGTTTTTCAAATAATAGATTATAATTGATTAATTTCTCAAATATATATTAAAAAATTATAAATAAAAATATAAATTATTTAAGAATATTAATTATTGTAAACATAAAGTAGAACATGGGAGGAGATGAGGATGATAATATAATGATGGAATTGACAAAAATATAATTACAATATATTTTTCTACTTTGAGAATGAAAAATATAATTAAACTAAAACTGAAAATATTATAATACATTTTTGAACTCTTTTTGATTATTTTTTTTCCTAATTTTTTATAAAGTCAATTTTAATATTTAAAAGTATTTAACAATTTTCTTTCGAAACGTTTTTCGTATTACCAAATTTAAAAACATAATATTCAAAAAAATAGTTAATGTAAGTTTTGATGATGATCGATTAAATTTTCAAAATATTCAAAATAACATATAATACATTTCTATGTGATTTCGTCAAATTATAGATTGGAAATAAACATTTTTAAAAACTCAAATTATAGATTGGAAATAAATCTATAAAATTTAAAAAATGATGTTATATTTTTAAAAACAAATATTAGAAAAAGGTTTAAAAACATGTATAAATTATATTTATATGTCCAAAATATTAAAGATATCTACATTTAAAAAAATACTAAAAAATATTAAAAGTTATACTTTAAATTAATGAAAATATTTAAAAAAAGTTATATTTATTAAAGTATTAAAAAATATTTTGTAATATATAAGTTAAAAAAATTATCATTAAATTTTTTAAAAATTATTAGTTTTGTAATTTATATACAATGAAAATAATATAATGGTATATTAGTATATAAATATATAAATATATCAATATATAAATATATCAATATATCAATATTTAAATATATATTAAAATATATAAATATATTTGTATCTATAGATTTTATAAATATATAAAGATATAAATATATATATATATATATATATATATATATATATATATATAAAGATGTAAATATATATAAAGATATAAAGATATAAATATATGTAAATATATAAAGATATAAATATGTAAAGATATAAATATATATCTTTAATATTTTGTACATGTAAATATAATTTATATATATTTTTAAATAATTTTCTAATATTTATTTTTAAAAATATAATATTATTTTTAAAATTTAATATTTAAATTTTTATCTTTTTTTCAAATATATAAAGATATAAATGTATAAGGATATAAATAAATATATAAATATATCATATATATATATATAAATATATAAATATATTAATATATAAATATATCATTATATAAATATATATATATATATATATATATATATATATATATATATATATATATATATCATCAATATATCAATATTATCCCCTCATATATTATTATACATTATTAGCGTAATTTTAGTTTAATTAAAAATTAGAATACAAATATATTATATTATATTAATATACCATTATGTTATAATATTTGTAATTTATTTTTATAGTGTATAAATTACAAAACTAATAATTTGTATACTATACTATACTAATATATAATTTGTATACTATACTAATAGTATAATATTATTTGTATACAAAACTAATATCTTTATATATAAATATATAAATATGGAAAGATATAAATATATGTAAAAATATAAAGATATATAAAAATATAAAGATATAAATATATCAATATATCAATATATAAATATATCAATATATAAATATATCAATGTATTAATATTTAAATATATATTAAAATATATAAATATATTTTTATTTATAGATTTTATATTTATATATTTATACGGATATACATTTATTTGTATATAAATATAATTTATTTGTAAGTTATTATTAAAAAATCCTAGTAGCTCAGTGGTTGGCCTTTGAGCCTCCAACTCTAAGGTATCGGGTTCGAATCCTGACAATGGCAATAAACCTAATAATAAGTTAAACTTCTAAAAAATACAAATAAAAACTTGGAAAAACTGATTTAAATTGGTCGCTATTTTTTTAACTTTGTCACCGATTTAGCAACCAATTTGATATATTAATTTCGGTTGCTATTTTGTGACTGAAATGAAAATCGGTCGCTAACACATTAGCGACTGGGCTTTTTGCGACGACGCATTTCGGTCGTTAATTTCGGTTGCTAACTGATTAGTGACCGATTTTTTGCCATTAGCGACCGATTTTGTCGGTCGCTAAAATGCTTTTTTCTTGTAGTGATAAGTTTACCATTCACGTCATACAAACACTAGATAACTTATGAAAAATTAGATATTGAGATAGACATCAGATATTTGCAGATGTCACACCATACTTCTCCCAAGTGCATAACACAAAGATGCTCAATTTGGTATATACACTCATGTGTGATCAGATTAAATTTATAAATGACTTATCAAGACTAAGTTATTTTTTATACCTCAAGTTAAGTCATTAGAAACCTCCTTCAACTCTCACCACCTGATCCTTTCATCTGTGTGATTCCAATGATCAGTAGAGTCCGGATATCTTCTCGAGTTCCAAATCAATATCTATACATACAATACTACACACATGAGAATACCCCTTGGTAATTTTTATATCACAACACAACATTTTTCAAGACACATAATAAAATTAACATATCTCATTTCATGTTCATATCATGTATTTTAATAGCTTAAGGCACATACACATCATTTATCACATTATAACAAAATATATATTTTTCTAATTTGACATCTACCTATTCTTTTGATTATAAATTTTTCTATAGATATCCTTTTTAACTAAATTTTATTTTATTGGATTCCTTATCTCTAGGGCTTCAATTTTCATATATGGATAATTAAATTTAGAGTTAAGAGCTATTTTTTATGATTTTTTGAAAATTGCTAAGCAAATTTGAAATCCGCTAGGCAATCTCAAAGGGTCAAGTGAATTTCAAGCGTTTTCAATATTGTCTTAAATTCACGCAGATTTAAATTTGCTAGACGAATTTGTGACAATAGTAAGTCTGCATAATCTTCTTAATACTTTATTTTTAATATTTTAAATCAAATTAATTCTAAATCTTATCTTTCATATCGTAAATCAATTCACTAAATTCAATTTAAAGAAGAATATATTTATACAAAAACTATATTTTTCAATCTTATATAATCACTTATACATTCACATTTAATATAATAATTACAAATCAACACATAAATAATCTCATAATCCAAATTCATGAAATTCAAACAATGTGACCAAGTCACCTTCATAATCTAGGTATTCTAACCTAGAGTATTATGGAAATTGAAGAATATCTAACTTCTCTTGTCTTAATATAATGCCTTCAATTTAAAAAACCAAAAAAACTTTTAAATTTCCACGAAAATAGATGTTGCTCACGAAAAACTTAAAATAATAAATTGAGTATATCACAATACTTGCTAAACTAGTCGGAATTTATCTTTTCACAACAAAATCTATGTGACATACGGACTTAAAACTAAATATATGTAAAATTTGTCTAAAATTAGGAAATGAGAAACTTATTATATTTAAAATTTTGATTGGATAGAAATGATCTTCTCTCCTTGAGAAACACTTGGATCTTAAAAAAAATGAGAGATGAAACAAGAAATTAAAAAAAAAAACAGAAAAAAATTGTAGAAAAAATTGATAATTATTTTAGAATAAATTTTAAATATTTAAACTTTTCTATTTATAATTTTTTTAAATTATTCTTATTATATCACTTTTATTCTAAATTAAATAAAGACACATTATATTCATATTTTTTTATTAAGTATGCAATCTTCTACAAATTTTAATCTAAATTCTTCAATTGAATTGTTGAAAACGAATTTGATTTTATATATATTATAATAATATTATTAGGATTAATATATATATATATATATATATATATATATATATATGAGATATTATTGACTTTAAAATTTTATGATGAAAAGGTATTTTAATTGAGTATATATATATATATATATATATATATATATATATATATATATATATATATATATATATATATATAATATTTCGAAACAGAATTTCATTGTTTTTTTTTTCTTTTAATTTAATCCTTGAAAGAGTTACTTATTAGAATAAAATATATTATAAATTATACTTTTTTTTTTCAGAAGTAAAATTATGAATTTTTCAACACACAAAAATGCAAAATAAGTAGAGGAAACGTGTCTCACTAATTCAGTTGCCAACAAATTCGGTGGCCTCAATAATCGATATTTTCCATTTCATTCATTCATCAGCGAAACGCGCCGCAACAGCGAGCTTCAAACTATTTCAGTGAGTAACTCTCTCCATTATTCTTTTCCTTCTCTTATAATTTCATTTCAATGCTATTTTTCTTATCAAAATTATAATTAAATTTCAAACCTCGGCATAATAGAATGATTGTTTATGTATGTGTATGTGTGTCTTACTTGCAACTTTGTATGATTTTTCTTCCCGTAAGGTGTTTGTGAAAAATGCTGTAATGAGGAAAGTTGTTGGATAGGGTCTTGTATTACTACTGTGGCCTGTTGAATGCTGTATGAATGGTGGAACTGTGTTGGAAGAGTTATTATGAATTTAGGTGGCATAGGTTTGGGGTGGGCTAGGGTTTTGGTCTAGACAAGGGGATATAGAAAGGAATCCGGAAAACATGCTCGTGTATGTGCAAGTTGTTGGAGAGGCACCTATATATGCTCAATTGCAAAGAAGACCGTGCGTCTAAGGCAGCAGCAGGCAAAATGTATGACCATGACCATGTGTTCTAGAGATTTATGGGGATGAATATTGGAGATCTCCATAAAAAGGTGATTGGGAACATTGTCAATTTGTGTTACCCCGTGGACCAATGGTAGCCAGGAAATATTGTTAACAACACAATGGTCTTTGATGTGTTTTCTTGTTTACATGTTGTTAACTGATTGATCTGAATTATTAATATTTTTCCTAGTATTATCAATGGTGGATGGGCGGAAGGCCAAAATCCCGCCATATAAACAACACCATTGCAGTCATGGTTGGCAAAAAAACCGCCATGGTTGAATGGCAGCCATGACGTTGCCATTTAACAATAATGCTCTTTCTTAACTCAGTTTACTACGGTTGAAGTGAAAATTTTCTGGATAAAAAGTGAAAAACACTTACTGTTGAACGGGTTGAAAAATGATCTACAAGCAAAGCTCAAATCCTTTGTATTCGAAAATGAAAGCACTGATTCAACAAGTTAAGTTTGTGCACTACCATTGATTATTCCTGTTTGCTGTATTTTCAGGTTTTTTTTTCCTTCTGGTACAAGTTTTCTTGTTCTTATCATCACCTGACATCATTAACAAACAACAATGACCAGCTATTTCCCTCGCTCACTCTCCAGTGTAGCCAACACTGCTCTTCACCACACCAGATCCGAGAAACTGACTCATTTAGTTTCCAACTCAGTGACACGGCTCCTCTGCACATCTTCACCTCAGTCACAAGAGGAAAACCCCGTCAAGAAACAAGCACAATCACGTCAAGAATCTCTCCATGATGAGAGCAAACAAAGCCATGACCCAAACGAAGATGATGAAGATGGTGACAGTATTAACGAAGAAACAGGTGAGATAGGTGGCCCCAAAGGGCCTGAGCCCACTAGGTATGGTGATTGGGAACGCAAGGGGCGCTGCTCTGACTTTTAAGTTTTACTGAGTTTGGATCACTGTATACACGCATGCCTCAAACTAAAATGATGTCAAATTGAAGGAAAGACATCATGAGAGCTACAATTAGTAGCTTTAACTTTGGCGAGGGCGAACTCTTTTAAACACAAATAATCCAAACATGCTGATAATAAATTTCATTAATATTGTAGGATATTTATATTCAGTTCTGATTTTATGACAAGTTAAAAGTTATGATTATGTAATAGTGTTGCGTTTTGATTCATTACTGTCATGCAGTTTAACTGTGTGCATTGGAATAATTAATTTGTTGCTTGCATAATGCCAAAGAATGGATTGATGATTTGAACTAGCGATGCTTCTGTGGTGTGCTGGTTTTAGCGGAGGCTGCAACGTGTAAAAACGCATTATATTTTTGTTCAAAATCCCCATGGTTGAATGTTGGTGGGTTAATACAACTTTTGCATTCTTTTATTGGGTACTACTCAGTGGTAGGGAACTAAGGAGAGGGGAAGAGGATTTCTGAAAACTTGCAAATTAAAACTTTAAAGCGCGTAGCTTCATTCATACTGTGATGCTGTTTTACAAAATCCTATAATTAAAATAAAATTTATAAAATAATCTTGAAATGAGATGTATAATAAGATTCCTTCAAATAAAATAAGACTGAAACTAGAAGATCTAATTAGATTTTTTTCATTTAAAATGTTTTTAAGAATATCAAGACTTTACTTGCATATGGAATAACATTCTTTGTTTTTAGTCTTCAAGGCACCCTATGTTAGAATAGTATCTCCAAGCCCCAAAAAAACTGAGATTAAACATTTTAATTTGATTCAAATGATTAAAAAAAAATCCATGAAAAGAAAACAAATTTGTTTAGTAATTTATCTTTCAAAGTTCACGTGCACAGTCTCGCAATCCCAAAAAAGTCATATAAATAAAATTGGAAAAAAAAAAATTGTCTGCTGCTGGTACCAGGAAATTGTTGCCAGGAACAGCCACAACTCTATAAAAACCAAGCAAAAGTAAAGAAAGTAGGCCCATACACTATGCATTTCTCCTAATGTTAAAAAGAGAATTTTTAAAATATCTATAAAAAGTAAAGTAGGCTCGATAATTAGGAGACTCTGGCTTAGAAGAAAAAAAAAAAGCGTGTGGGAAAATAATGATTTTTTAAAATATTATAAAAAAATTACATAGACGTACTGCATAAAAAAATTACTTAATGAAACACATAAAAGCAAAGAAATGAAAATTAACCGAAACTATAGACACTATTCTAGAAAAAAAAAATTTGTTACATGATCCAAATGACTTCAGTTTGATGAACTTCTAAGTAATACACAAATTGGGTTCTGTTATCACTTTCCGGAAGACTTGGAAACTGGGCTAAGTCTGTGAAGATTGATTACTATAGTTCTGTTCGGGACCACACCACATGATAATTTCTCTGGTTCCAGACCATGAAATGTTGTCAAAGCAAAGTCACCATGAAGGAGAAGTAGAAGGGGTAGCCGATGAAGAAGAGGGGCCATTGATGCTTTGAGTTTCACTTCCTGAAGTACCTAAGGAGGTGGCATCTCTAAGAGAAACAGAAGAACCTTCTGCAGGGAGCTTCTTCATAGGGGTGAGAGGAGGTGTGAGTGAAGGTGGTGGATTAGCACAAGCACAAGGTGATTCTTTAGCAGCAGCGCTGTCATTACGATCATCATCTTCCCCAGAAGAGCCACTTCTTTCAAAACGAGAGGGTGAAGTGTGTGGTGTCTCAAACGGGGTTACTCCACTTGCTTTGCCCTCAAATTCGTTCTCGTAAATGGGGTTGGAAATGTACACAAGGTGCTCCACTCCACCACCACAAGGTTTCTCACTGACACCACCTTGGAGTGTGTTGGCTTGTTGAAGAGGCTGAGGTGGAGGAGCTCTTGCCAAGAAGGATGCCAATGGAGATAATGATGAGACAGAAACAAGGCCAATGCCACGTGGGGTTGCATTTGGTTCATCTTTGCACGGGAAAAGGAAGCTTCTAGGGGCTTGGAGGACCCCTTGTGAGTAAACATTGGTAAAGGGAGGATGAGGAGAGTGTGGTGTGAGTGAAGGTGGAGAGTTTGACATGGTGGTCGTGGTGGTTTGAGTGGCGGAGATGGGAACGGTGTTGGTGGTGTTGGAGTTGTTGTTTTTTCTGAGCTGGCGACGTTGGAGTAAGAGAGAACAATAGAGTTCAGCAAGAAGCACAAGAATGAGGCCCAGAACAATGGCAAGGCTAACCACCATAACCAAGGTTGCTCCCATGATGAATTTGGAAGTGCCCTTCATCTTTTGTTGGAGTTTGGTGGTGTATGGTGTTCCTTCTCTTCTTGAGGAACGTAGATGTGGCGGGAAAAAGAGGAATAGAATGAAAGAGGGAGGGAAATGGTACTTTAGGAAGAAGTGAGAGGGGAATCTTTTGAGGGGTGATGGGGTTATAGGGAAGAGTAAAAAGGGTTTTGTGTCAGAAGTAAGAAGTGCGGACTTAGGACTTGCAACTTCTGACAATTGACAGATTGGTCACTTGATACTGTTACCATCAAGTTTTCATCTAGACATCAGAAGCCTGTGTTGGGATATGTTTGCCTCATCACCTATTATTTTTTGTATTTTTATAATGAACATATATTTAATAATAAATATAATTTATATTTAAAAATAATTAAACTCTTATAATTAAAAAATATATAAAAATTTATTTATTTATTTAATAAAAATAAAGAATAATTCTCTTATTTTTTTGTTAAAATAATTCAAACTACCTCTTTATTTTCACAATTTTTAAAAATGACATTTAATTTATTTTTAAAATAAACAAAAACCGTGCTTTGAAATATCATTTCTTCAACATTAAATTTTGTGTTCAAAGTATAATTTACTCATTTTAGTATTAAAAAAAATACCTCTTTTGATAAACATGAAAGTAAATTACACCAAAAATAAATCCCAAATCTCCATAAAAAACTTACAACCAACTCCAACTGCACATGCTTACAAGATGGAATAAGCTGGCATTTGACTACAACGCTCTCGAAAATTTTATTGAATCCACCTTTATTTGTATCAATCAAATAACAAGAAAGGAAATAAAAAAACATACAAGAGAGGGAAGGCCATAGAAAAGAAATGAGACTATGCAAGGAGAGAAAATATAAAAATTAGGATACATTAGGAGAGTATTTTTTATAAATTATTTTCTATTTCTTCTTTATTTATCTTAAATAAAATAAAATTCCTTTACTATTCACTCTATTTTTCATTTATTTTCATTTTTATCCTATTTTACTAATGTCTATTTCTATTTAATATTATTTAAAACATCATCCTCTTCTCGTAGTAAAACACACCGTAATAGTGAAATTCTTTCAACGAAATTTACTAAACTTTGACACAACCACTTATCTCAACTTTTACCCCTACTCGAAAAAAAATACGAATACCAAATTTCTGCTGTTACAAAAACTTCTCCAATCATCATAGATGAAAAACTCATACAAACATTGCGTATAACCAGCATTAGTAAAAATTATGACAACACAGGAATTGTCAACAACACAGGAACGGCCATGGCTGATTAATAATATAGCTTTGGCGTAGTCAACGCTTGAAAATTAAAGCACCACAGTGCCACAGTCTTCGACAATACAACGGTACGTGAGAGTGAAGCACGATGATCATAATTACTGCAATCATGGTGGTAGAAGAGTACTGATTCATCGTGATTCTATCACTTATGTTCCTCTCAAGGCTGCAATCCTAGCAGCTAAGTCATCATAGTCAGGTAAATTGGGATGTACATGCCGAGCTTCGTTCGATCTCCCAGGCTGAAATGAAGCAGCACGAGCATATACCTTTTTTACTTCCACTGCTTCTGTTTGATCACGGGGAAGAGAAACTGATCTCGGTGGTCGAGTAGCCATCTCTGGTGTCTCATCAGGTCCCTCCCTGCTTCCATTCTTATCTATTTGGTGTGCATGGCGACTTCGAGACTTTCTTCTTGCTTTTTCAGGCACATTGATGGATGGCTTTTTGCTATAATGGATCAGTAATCTATCTATAATCCTTTCCTCTTCATCATTTTTATGCTGCTCATCATCAAACAGAATTTGCAGGCCGCGTTTTTGTTCGTCTCGTCTCCTGCTCCTATGTTTTCTCACAACTTCAGCATCTTCACTACTATCATCATTGTGAATAGATCTTGATTTTGAGTGCTTCCGTCTCATCGATTTTTGTTTTAGTACAACGACCTCCGTGGCATCTTCCTGAGCAAAGAGTTCTTTTTCATGACCCTGTTTACTCGGTCTCGCATGTCGAATGGTTTGCAAATCCCGTTCAGAATCATTCAAACCTGATTGGATCCTGTCCATTGTAGGAGCAGCATCACGCTTTTCATGCACCAAAGGGTAAGCAGGGATGCCATCACTATCAATGTTTGAAGATACTGAATTGGTTCCATGCGTGCTGTTCTTCCGTTTTGAATTAGGTTTTACATAAGGTGGTGGGATGGCATTACTGTAGAAGGGCTTTACCCTAGGAGTTTCATTCTTTTGACTTTTTCTCTCCGAGTCATCAACATCAAGAATGCCACCGTGATTAACATATGGCTCATTCACATTGTTATTTGAACGAAATCCAGCATGAACAGGAGATTTCCTAGAAGTGGTAGGATCGTGGCTTTCTTTTACACGCCTAGCATTCCCCCAACTATCGTGCAGATTGGAACCACCTTCAAATTGTTTCTCTTTTTTATCCTTGGAAGAACATCCAATTGGTTTTAGCATACCACCCTCATTCCGATACCCCCCTCTATCACTTCCAGGCAATGGACTGCCATGGATATCCCTTTTCAAACTGACTTCATCATAACTGCTTAGTGTCTTTAATCCATTTGCAGAATTTGGGAGTTTGGATTTAGAACGAAGATCATTTTCATCTCCTTTTGAGAGAGACTCCTTTCTGTTCTGAAATTTGTGCATGTCATTAGGATGGTCATGACTTCTTTCAAACTTGACTCCTTTCAGGGTAGCATCCTTGCCTTGTAATGATATATCACGAACAATGCCGTCTTTAGACTTAAAATTACTGTGGTCCTGCATGAGCACATATACAAATTTATGGTGATTAAAATTAAAATTCACATATATTCTCAAAATGACAACCCAAATGCATAATAAATACATGGACGAAAGTAATTATATAAGACCACAGCAAAATTGATCCATTTGAGAACAAAGGATGAGGACAGTACCTGTACAGAAACAGAGGGTTTTGACATTCTTAATTCAAAAGCTTTGGAATCCCATTTTATTGAGAACTCTGAAGCGATATCTTGCATCAAGTTAACTTTCTTCTCCAACGTAGCAGACTTTGAATTCAAATTTGTAGCAAACTGATAATTGACAATTTAATGCGTGAGTTCAAAAGAGATAAATATGTAAAACTTTCATGATTTAAAAAAAATAAAATAAGATAAAACCTCTTGATTGACATAACATTCTAGGGAACTTCCGTATCTATCCTGAAATATTTGACGAAGGTCACGTAACTCTGGTAGATCAGAAATTCTTGCAGCAGCAAACATCAGAGATGATATAGACTCCCTGAGCTCCTCCGGGCATCCGCTGCAAAAGACATTGGGAAAAATATGAAATGTCGCATGAACGTTAGAATATTTAGACACTAAACGTGCATAACAAAATAAAAGAAAAGAAAAAGTTCAACAACAGGAACAAAAACTATTGGAGAATAATATTCCTAGTGCTTCCACTCTTCAATTAAAAGAATACAGAAAAAAAAAAAATTGGCCAATAATCTGATAACCAGCTCACAATAATTATGAAAAAACATAAAAGTCTGATAATAAAATTTGTGTTGCCCATGAAATGAATATTTTTTGCCCATATTATTACTATTGGGTATTATCATATGCAAAGTTTAGATAATTTAATCATATAACCATGAGTGCTGAAATTCAAAGCAAAGAATCAATAAAAAGGCTCTTTGTATAACCTTGATAGTTGAAATTGCTAGCATAGTAGGCTATGTTAGTGAACTGCATCACATAGAAGGACTACATGCCAAAGATTTAAATATACATAAACACACATGTAAATCTAGTGATGTACTGATGAAAATTAATTCTGTATTATTTCATAAATTATGACAGAGGGTGAGAAAAGGAAAATCTTTTCTGGCATTGCACTTTTACAACTGTTTTTGTTTTGCAAGAAATGAGGAAAGACAAATTATAACGATATCAAAAGAAAAAGGATAACCAACCAGGGCATAGAAATTTAAAAAGTAAATGCAATTATTTGACACTCAATTCTCATGGCAACACATTGAGAAAATAAGGTAAAGACTACAATTTAAGAAATACATGGTCTTGACTGATGGTTTCTTTCAAATAATCACTAAATAGAGTCAGTGTAACAGACACATCAACCCTAGCAGACTGTCTTTGTGAACTACCACCATGGTTCAAATGACAAAAAAGGTCACGTCAGTTCTAAAGCTCAAATCATTAAAATAGGTTCATACCTCACTTTCTGCAGCACTGAGAGGTGCTTCAATACAAAGTCACAAGATTGTTCAACAAAATCATAACAAGATGATAAAGTCAACTCAACAAAGAGTCCTTCGGCCTGTATAAAAATGACAATATTCATGGGTACAAGTAAAGTATATTGTAAATTCTGAAGTCCCTTTAAACTAAACAATAAGAAGATAGTAGATACGAATTCATCATTCTCATTCTTTAAACAAAAAGGGAAATGAGCAAACGGTAGAAAAACAGTTTCGTTAGCCATCACAATCAAGTTCTATTCTAACAAATGTCTCAATGTAATATCAAAGCATTACCAGAATCCATTAAGCGCCTTAGAATTTAGATGTCATACATTTGAATTTGACACACATTAAATTAATAATTTATTCACACAATTTATTCTAATAAAATAAATCTTCATTCATGACATGAGTCTATCTCCTATCATACTTTATTCTAGCTCAAATATTTGACAATGGAGATATTTATCTATATAAACAAATAGATTTATTGTGTGTAATTTAAATTTAATTTTGCTAGTATGTGTTAAGGGATTTTTTTTTTCTGGATCCACCCGTAACCTTTTATACTGTGAGTAGAATCTGCAATTCGTTTAGACAAAGAGATTTAAAAACAGGGCAATGATCTAAAGTATCAATTCCAGTGTTACGTTACAGCGAACCAAATAAAAAAGTAATTACCCTTCCATAAGCATTAACATCTAAACCATTCGCCAGCAGATCAGCGATGTCCTTCGTCAGAAACTTCTCCGTCGCCTTCCGCTTCCGCCTTATCACATCGATCCGATTCTTCGTCAATTTGATCAACGATTTGCTAAACCAAACAAATAAAATAACACAAAACAAAACACGAATATCACGACCACATTTCCTAACAGAACCAGTTAACAACTAAGAACAAGCAAAGAAAGAGAGAAAATCGCAGCGTTGAACCATTTCGCGGCGAATCCTCGACTGAGCAGACCGTCCAACATGCCTGAAGATCGGATTCGGTGACTCGCCTCAGCGAACGATTGGACTCCGTAACTCGGAATGTGAGATTCCGCACTGACGAAGCAGCGTCCCCGTTTTCGCCGCAGAGAGCAATAGCACAGAGCTGTAGTGGAAAGAGGTTGAAGAAGTACGAAGGAAGAAGAAAAAGTGCAAGGGACGATGGACAAATAGCGAATTTTAAGGCTTGTTAATTACGATAATGACCTTTTGCTATTCTTTTTAAACAAGCGTTAAAAACTCACTCTTTTGCTAATATTTTTTGACGAAGCGTAAGAAACTCACTCTTTTTTAATTCCATAGAAGTATTAGTTAATTCTAATAACATTTCATGAATTTAATTGATTAACCTAAATACAAATTCATTGATTAATTTAAAATAATAATTAAATATTATATACAACTGGGAATAAATTTATATTTTTTATTTATTGAAAGGTCATCATGATATGTATGATTTCCCATCAAACTCTTTTGCCAAAGGTTGATGTTAACGTTACCACAGCGAATAAAAAAAAAAAAAGTGGTGCTGCGTGAGAATGATGTGGACCGTTGATTTGTTGACTTGGTGACTGTGGAAGCGTGATGGACGGAAAGGATATAAAGCGTAGGGAATCGATGAGAATCTTTGTGCTGAGCTGGATCGCATTAACGGCTAACGGGGTTTCTTGTTGGGTTGGACCAAACGCAATAAGGTTCAGTGTGACCTTGCCTTTGAAGTGGATGTGGTAGGTTCTAACCACCGTTATAACGTTGACGGTTTTTACATGATAAGAAATATCGTTGCAAGAAGGTAGTATTATTTTTCAGTTCTTAAGTATTACGAATTTTTATTTCATCTCTATCTACGTTGTGCATAAAAGTAACAAAATAAGCTAAAAGAACGCAAAAAGAGAGTGAGAGAAAAGCTCCATAAAAGAGAAAAAAAACCTGCAAAATTTACGAAACATGAAACAATGTCAATGTCCAATGCGAATTGTAGAGAACCTAGTCCCACACTTTGGGTGCTTCAGTATTGAAGTGGTGCTTCCAGCCTTTCCTGACACTCTATGATCTCCTTTGACCAATTGATATCGTAGGAAACTTTAATGTTTTCTGGTTAGGTCCAACTCTATATATATTTCCAAAGTGACACATAAATTATAAAATATTTTTAACCAATGTACACAAAAATAAAATATGTAGAATTTTATCTGTATTATAACAAATACAGTTATTATTATTATTTTTTTTTAACAAGATGATGTGTGAGTATGAATGTAATTTTTTACTTTAAATGGAACCTGCTGTATGTAGTCACATGCTGCCAACTTTAGAAAGTGAGTAAATTAATAAGTAAATATAAAAAGATGCACCGAGTGATAGAAGTAAAAACAAATAAATAAATAAATAATGAAAAATCTGAACACACCACATGCAATGCATTATGATTCAAATATTAATAGAATGTACCAATATCACTGTTCCTTTCATAACTTTCCAGATTTAATTATTTTATTTTCAAAAATTGTTTGTAGTTTGCACATCACACAACACTACAACTAAAGTGTGTCATAGTAGGACCAATAAGGTGCGGATGCGAGTTTAAATAAAAAAAATACAAAACATTTGTAATCAATATAAACTAAACTAAAAAATATATTTCACTTTACCATATAAAGTTAACTAATTTTATTTTGCTACGAAGTTTTTCCATGCTAACTATAGAGTAAAATTATGATTGGAAACATTGTTCTTCACCCTGTAAATTTAAAGTGAAACCTATGTTATTCTGGAATATTAAATCAGGAGATATTTATTTTTAGTTTTATTTTCTATTTCATAATTAAAAATTTATAATTTTTTTACTAAAAAGTGAAAGAAGAAAAAAATAATAAAAAAAAATTATAGGTATCCTTACATTTTGGACCTCTCTTTCTGGACTTAAAAGAGGTGCACATTAAATTTTATTGAGCAGAGCATTGGGCCGAACTATATTACCAAAAGCCCAATTAAAAATAGAAGGCCCAAATAAACAACGAGCCACGAACCAACAAGAGTTTATTATGAACTACTTTTATACAAACAGAGTGGGGCCACGCTCTCGTCGACGACGTGAAGCCCATTAACTCTGATCGTTTCAGAATTTACACACGCGCGTGTCAAACATGCCAGACTACAGCGCGTGGTCGGATATTCAAAATTTTCAGGTGGGACAAAGCCAAGAATCGCAAAGCAGCGGAAGACTGAATAGTACTTATTTTTTCTAAAACATTAATTGGACCCTCGCACGCGCTCCTCCTCAACTTCACAATTGTAGCGTGACGACACGCGCTTCAACTCCGTTTCACATTCACTACACAGAAGGAGCGCTCTTTCTTTTGAAGTTTCAAACTCCTCTTTCACTTTCTCTCCTCTCAGCACTGTTTGTTTCCCGATATTTTTATTTTCAAAAGGGAAAAGAAAGGGGAAGAGAGAGAGAGAGAGCTATGATAATAAGCGTTGAAGCATTCATCTGCTTGTATAGATTAACGAGTTTCTGATTCTATTTCTCGTATCTTGCGTGTGCATACTCGTGATAAAACGAGATATCGTTTGCGAAATTCAAGTGAATGAGCGTAGTTGGGAGAGCGATGCCGCGATCCAATTCCGGCGTGCACCATCACCGTCAGAGCTCCGATAACTTCATCCTCGACGCTCACAGAAGCTGGTTACACTCTTCGACTTTCGCGCAGGTGAGGTTTTCGCTTTCTCGATCATTTGTTTCCTTTTATGAGAATTAGCCACGGCGAGAGCTAATTCGTCGGTGTGTGTTCGGAACAAATTGGTTTGTGCAGGAGTTCGGGACTCGATCTTCGAGCTTGAGGAAAATCGACGATGATCGTGTTTTGAGCAGTGGCTTGCTTGATCTGCATTCTTTAGATACCGAGCTTTTACCTGAGGTTTGTTGGTGTGTTTTGATTGGCTTATTTCGTATACTGAAATACCTTATAGGTTTGTTAGGACGATCTTCTGAACAAGTACTTTTAGCAAAAAATAGAAAGAAAAATTAGAATTAGCTTATCTATAACACGCACGTACTAATATGTAGAAACTCTCTCATATAGTTTCTCTGAAAAAAATTATAACTTGTGTTTAAGGAGAAGCTCATTTCATTTTTTTCTTCTTATTTTTTTCATAGTTCTTACGGAATTTGTCCACACAGGCCTTTAATCAAATTGACTTTTTAGCTTCACATTTTGTGAAGACTAAGTAGGAAGCCTAATATGTTTTAATTTCAGTCGGTTTGAAATGAGCTGCCTTGCTTGCCCGATCATCGTGATGTTAGTGTTTATTTGTTGCTTCATTATTTCATTTATAATGATGATTTGTGTGAAAATTCAAATGACTGGAAATTTTAATTTGATTCTTAATAGATGTATGGTGCTCACAATGACTACTTTACCAATCACACTGTTCGGGGTCAGAGTTTTGATGACTACGAGTCAATCCTCTCTGGTAACAAACTTGTACAAAGGTCTCGGGGATTACCTGAGAACAGTTTCGTCAAAAGTGTTCCAGCAGATAAAGAGAGAGCAAACAATGTTGCCAAGATCAAAGTTGCGGTATGCTTCCTGTCGCGTGTTTTCTTTCAGTTCTAAATCTGACTTTTTCTTTTATTCATAAACTAAGAGCTTTAATGCATTTACAATTGCATTTTGGCTAAAAGTACTGAGGTCTGTTGCAGGTCCGGAAGAGACCCCTAAATAAGAAGGAAATAGCAAAGAAAGAGGAAGACATTATATCCATAGATTCAAATTTTCTCACAGTTCATGAAAGAAAACTGAAGGTGAGTAAGCGGTAGGTTATCATAAAAATCTATGTTGTCATGATGTGAACTCTGGATTGAATCTGAGTTCAAGACAAATTCCTCTACGCTGCCGTTGCAGCAGTTGGCATTCGATATATTGACATACAAAGTCCTTTTAACATGCAATTAAGGAGTCAGCCAAACTACTGAAAATCATGATATGATACTCTCTGCTGCTTTTATCTCTGATCTGATACTTCATCATCAATCTTCTACATATGTGATGTCTCATGATGTTTACATTCTATTAAAGGTTTTTTAGAACATAAATTGCATTTCAATGTTAATTATGCCTAATAGAATTTGAAATATAAACTTCCTCAAAAGATATTGCCAATGGTCCTGGCAAATTTTTATGAATATTTTGCTCACTTTTTTGTTGCATCCAAATCCAAAGTGAAGGCATGGGAAAATATGTTTAGAAAATAAAAATAGATTGACTTAGATTTGGACAACCTTTCACATCAATGCTTCAAACATCAATTAGTTTGAGGCAGTATAAATAATTTCAAAATTGCTCTTTCTCGTTCTGTGATGTGTCTAAACTAGTCAAATCGCATTGGACCTCACAATTACTGTCAAATAGCTAGTTACTCATATCAATAATTTTGTAATTGGTGTTGATTGATTCATATTTTAATTTTACAGTGGAAATTGAAACACTCATGGTGAACTTGAATGATTGGGTATTGTACCTTTTTCTGAGTTGTCTCTACTTCATCTGTGTCTGTAGGTTGACTTGACAGAATATGTTGAGAAACATGAATTTCTTTTTGATGCTGTCCTGAATGAAGATGTTTCAAATGATGAAGTGAGTATTTGATTTGCTGTGGCTCTTGTGACCATATTGACTAATTATTCAAGGGTTTCACTGGATTATTTACTGTTTTTTTTCCCTAGGTTTATGCTGAGACTGTGGAGCCAATTGTTCCACTGATTTTCCAACGAACAAAAGCAACTTGCTTTGCATATGGTCAAACTGGTAAGGTTTTGTTTATTGCTAATAGAGAACTGTGTCATTCTGCACTGACAACCGAATTATAAAATCTATGAATACCTTTCAACATTTTAGAATTTAGCTGAACAGTTACTATTTATTCACTATTTTTAGGAAAGGGATGCACTAAATCAGTAGTGAATCGTGGATTCTAAACTTATATAGCATATGTATATGAATCAAACAAATCTAAAAATGGAATAATGTAATATTATCTTGATGATCTTACGAATCATTTTTTATTTATTTATTCAATATTGATAGGTACGTTTCTGAACTCTGAAAGTTCCAAGTACCTATTACTTAGTTGTATTGTACCACACCTATTTCCTTAGTTTTCTTAACTGCACCCCATATCCTAGATGAATTAGAATATTCTCTGGATCTATCATTTTTGGAGATGAATTTGAATAGGTGTTTGTGTTCTGCTATATATTGTGAATAAGTTTTGCTTGCCAGATTATGCATAAAGCAGTTTGGTAAACAAATGCATTTCTTTTTCCTTGATTTTCTCCTTCCTCTATACTTTTTAGCTGATATGAAATTACTTTCTTATCTAGGTAGTGGGAAGACATATACTATGCAACCATTGCCTCTCAAAGCTTCCCAAGATATTTTTAGACTAATGCACCATACCTACCGGAATCAAGGTTTCCAATTGTTTGTTAGTTTCTTCGAAATATATGGGGGAAAACTTTTTGATCTCCTCAATGATCGAAAGTAAGTCATTATCATGTCAGGTGGAATAAGTATCCCTATGGAGGTTATTTTCTTGATTAATTCATGATTTTGCAGAAAACTTTGCATGAGGGAGGATGGGAAACAACAGGTTTGCATTGTTGGCTTGCAAGAATATAGAGTATCTAAAGTCGAGACAATCAAGGAATTTATTGAGAAAGGAAATGCCACAAGAAGTACTGGTACAACTGGAGCAAATGAGGAATCCTCTCGATCACATGCCATACTTCAACTTTGCATTAAGAGATCAGCTGATGGGACTGAATCAAAGCCTGCTCGACTTGTGGGCAAACTATCTTTTATAGATCTGGCTGGAAGTGAACGTGGTGCAGATACTACAGATAATGACAAGCAGACTAGGTAGGATTTTGTTTTTATCTTAAATCATATTTTGTTAGCTGATGCTGATACTTCATTTGAATAACTGGAAGTCTTGCCAAATAATGTATGTGTCTATGTCCGGAAGTAACTACGGTAGATTATCTATTTGGTTTAATTAACTTGTTTTCCTTTTTTTTTTATATTCCAGGATTGAAGGGGCGGAAATAAATAAAAGCTTACTTGCTCTGAAGGAATGCATTAGAGCTCTAGACAATGACCAAGGGCATATCCCTTTCAGAGGAAGTAAATTGACAGAAGTTCTGCGCGATTCTTTTGTTGGTAATTCGCGCACTGTAATGATATCTTGCATTTCGCCTAGCTCAGGTTCATGCGAGCATACTCTTAACACATTAAGATATGCTGACAGGTATGTAGTTTGACTTTTTCTGGCAAGGAAGGATTGATCTGATATGATAAAATATTGTAATGACAGTTACATTTCAGAGTGAAGAGTCTGTCAAAAGGGAACAACTCTAGAAGGGATCCCCTTTCTTCCTCAAACCTTAGAGAGTGCACTGTGTTGCCTGGGTCTTCAATTTTAGCTCATGATAACTTGGAGGATGAAACAACGTATGTTTCCAGTGACAGGAATCGATTTGGTTGGCCCAAACAGCAGGAAAGAGAACCCTCTCCTCCAAATAATGTGGACCATGTTCCACGTGGTAGAATGGGGGGGAATTTGGCGCCATCTGTGTATTCTGATCAACAAAATGGTCAAAGAGGTAGTCAAAATGACAAAACTGCAAATGAATATGTTGGACCAACATATGAACAAGACAGAACAAGAAAAACAAGTAAGAGGGTGGTGGATAACAACCAGTTATCTGCTGTAGAGGACAAGAAGAAGATAGAATCTCGAGTTAAGCATGTAGATGCATCACATTTTGAGACTAATCATTCTGATCTAGATGATTATTTAAATGCCCTCCTGAAGGTATATTCTTTTGCCACAGACTAATATGTTTTAGACTATTAAAGTACTGAATGGAGCCTTTTTTGTTTGGTAAACAGGAAGAGGAAGATCTAGTAACAGCTCACCGGAGACAGGTGGAGGAAACCATGGACATTGTTAGGGAGGTGTGTACAAATCTCACACCTCTCTTTGATGATTTAGGAAACTTGGTTAATTGTTTTAATATTATCAATTTCGTATGCAGGAGATGGATTTACTTGTTGAAGCGGACCAACTAGGAAATCAATTGGATGATTATATTTCCAAGTTGAATACCATTTTATCACAAAAGACTGCCGGAATATTCCAATTGCAGACACGATTGGCTCAGTTTCAGAGACGTTTAAATGAGTATAATGTTCTCGTATCTTCTGGTAATTGATGGTGCTAATGAGAAAATGATTGATGTGTTGTGGATGAGGAATTCTTCATGCCCTTAGATATTGCCTCTATGATTTCATTGCCGTGGTTTGTTTCTCAATTATTAAAATGTTGATGTTGACAAAGATTATTGTGGATTTTGGGGTGCCGAAATAGGATCCAGACCCGTCCTTGTTCTACGCTTAAATGCTTAGACGGGTCACTGTTGTGACTTGAACTATGTATACAAATGTATGTCTGCATTCTATTTTTACCTGTAGAGAGTACAATGTAAAGTCAAATACCCTCTTGGGGGTTGCTTAATCGTTTGCAACTGAAAATCTTCACACATGCACACATATATATTTTGCTTGTGTATCGTCTTCCCCATTTTGATTATGGATGTTTGTCTTGTCTTGTCCTTGAATTATTGGTCCAGAGTGTACCCTTTTCTTCCCATGCATGATGATGTGAAACCTAGGCAGGTGTTGTGAAGTGATTCGAGTTAGCGAGTAAAGGATTAATAACTATATATAAAGAATTAAGGGTCACTGGAATTCGTTGAAATGCCTGATCGTTGTTTCTTTTTTGCTTCAGTAGATGTTAAGGTGTGCATGTCAGAAATTGACTCTATATGAATGATTGTCAGCAGTACAAAATCCCCTCTAGTCATAATCTGTGGGTTGTTTCTTTGTTGCTTTCTCCACAAAATATTTCCAAGCACACGCAGATAACATTAATTAGTTTGGTCCTCTTGTAACTGTGATAGTTTCATACGTAACTTGCAAAATTCCAATTGAATTCCTTATTGTCAATCTACACATTTGTCCCCCTCTTGATCACCATTTTCGTGCCTGTCTTTCAAATCACGACGTAGACAACAGGTCGTGTGACATGTCAATGTGCCATAATAATTGATGCATTTTATCATGATAGGTGCATAGCCCAATAGGGGACTCACTGTCCATGTCCAACATGTTTTCGTCTGTTGCACCTAAAGCTTGGTGATGTGTCATTCGTTGGTGCTATCATAATACCTAAACATTTAAGCGGCGTTATCAATTCTGGTCGAGCGATCATTGGGGTCTGGGCCACGTGTTGTATGCAACGGACACACTGATCCAAAGTCACTCTTCGATTTCTGCCCAATGAATTTTATTCTGTTATGTCCTATGGTATCAACAGCACAATATTATATTTCATGATAAATTTAAGTCCCTTATTAAGTTTTGTGTAAAGCTTTACATTAGTCTCGTCAAATAATTCAGGCGTACATTTTATCAAGGTCAGAGTATAATTCCACAATAATAAAACTACGTTTGAAAATTAAAGAGAATGTATGGTCATTATTTCTTCCCAGTGAGAATGTTATCGTTGTCTGCTGCCCTTATCTTGATGAGGACCTTGCTGTAGTTTAGGTGGACAACAGGGATGACATGCTGATTCTAAACCCTATATAACGTATTGGACTCTTGCTAATTGCCAAATCTCTACTGTGCTTTTTAAGCTTTTTGTCAGAACTCTTAATATATATACATATATATATATACATATATATATATATATATATATATATATATATATATATATATATATATATATATATATATATATCAATCAAAATGTTAAATTTGATTACAATCAAACTTCATTAAATATAAGTTTTAACTAAACTCATCAGAATACAAATATAAATAAATGTCACAGTATTCTTAATTTTTATTTTTGCAAAGACTACCCATATTCTCCACATACCACATGTATTTAATTAATTAATTAATTATAAATCCCGTTCGAGCTAGATAAAATAACTTTTTTTTTCAGACAGAATAACTGAGCATTAGAATTATTATCAACATTAAAAGTGTCTCTTTAAGTATTTAATATAGTTATATATTTTCAGAATACAAATATTACTTAACCTACGTGTTTTTCTTATGGTAAATCTAAGTAAGTTTAGGACATTGGTTAAAGAATTAAAAGAACAAAAAATATTGAGATGCAGAGAAATGCAATTTCCTATTTTTAAAAATAGGCTACTATATGATTTAAAAAAAATACAATCTTTTGATTTTTTTAACTTGGTGCCTAACAATACCCTTAAATTTAAATTGATATATGATAAAAAAATAATTTTTAATTTGGATTAGAAAACTGACCAGCCTTTTAAAAAAAAATCGGTTCAATTTATATGTTTTTGAATTAATTAATTAATTAATTCGACTTTGAATGTTCCTATTTATTGTATCCTTTTACGCCAGCAAAATAAATCAGGTATAAGATTAGGTTGAAGTACCATAACCCATTACCATGCATGACATAAAGATTTTTAGAGCATGTTAATTTGAACATTCATTTAGAGGAACTGGTGACACTAGTCATGAAACGTGATGAAACCCCAACAAAGCAATATCCATTTTGCAACATCAAATTTCTGTCAGCAAAAACTAAAAATTGGACAATTAAAATTTTATATTTGAAGTCGGCAGACACGGTTAACTGCTCATGAAATCCAAAACCAAAGCACACAAAGGGGAATCATTTGACTGTAGAGATATGAGAATCTATGGTGACTAGTGACAGCTACAACTTGTAATTTGATTGGTCAATAGGCCTCCACGTGTCTCTCAGCTTTCACCTGATGTCTTGTCTTCATTTTCAAGGACACCATGAAAACTTAGACAAACAGGAGGAAGTCAAGGATAAACTTGTGAAATTGTTATGTGGCCAAACCTTTTCATGTCTTTCAGTTACTTGGAAAATTGGTAACATCGCCCTCACACAAATACAGAGAATGGAGCTATACTTTTTAATTTATCCTTTTGGCTAGCCAAGATTCAGTTTGATTTTGAGATTGGAAAAGCGATTTGATCTTATGCTAACCTTGAATAAAGTTATTTCGAATCATATGATTCATTCTCTCTTATGAAAAGAAGAACATGGAAAATAAATTCAGGTACATACAATTTTTCTTTTGATGAAGCAAGTATAGGTACACGTGTTTCCCATTCCCACCTCACCAATTCATGAGAAAAGCAAGTTATATCCAACTTACTATGCCAATATATGATGTCAATGTTTACATGCATGTCTGTATTTAAACTGCTATATTCATACAGGTAGATAGAATAAATGATTATATACATATAACTGCATAGTCACTTCAATTAATGCAGCTAAGAAAATTTTCTCAGAAACTTGCCCTCTGCTTCAAACCATCTATCTCTAAAGAACATACTTGAAGTGATAGTACTGGACCCTTCTTCAAGATATATATATATATATATATATATATATATATATATATATATATATATATATATATATATATATATATATATATATTTTTTTTTTTTTTTGTTAATTGTACTGTAATTAAGTCGGTTTAAGATAGCTAATTAATTACGTCATGACTCTGTGGTAATGATTAGACACTTGAGATTTTGTAAATGGTTCAAAATCTTTTTGATGTTACCCTAATGTGCCTATCATCCACTTTCTCTCAAAATCTCCTTCTTTTTTTTATGGGTTAGCTACTAAGATTTTGAGGAAAAAAAAAATGGAAATCCAATTGTTCTTGATGTGTAGTTAAAAGAGGTGTAGTAGACCTACCAAGCAATTTAAGTCATCATTACCCTCGATTTTTCCATTACTATGCAAATCTGAATCTAGTAAAATCCAAGTCAAGAACACTATTAACTAAGAGGTATAAGGGAAAATATTTTATTCGCTTTTAATAATTTCAAGTAACCTCATTGGTTGCCTCAATAATCCATGTGATGGAAATTTTGTTGTTCTAGAGTTGTTTATCAAACATAGACCCTAAGAAAACGTTCCGCTTAATTTACTAATTATAATATAAACCGACCAATCACTTACTTAATCCTCTTCATTACACTCAAATCATTTTTTATCACTTAACTAATCAAAGATTGGAATCTGCTTCACAGTTATGTGCTATAGTTCTCTTGGTTTTCTTCGTTTGTAAGCTTTCTTTGTTTTAGATTTGTTAAAACTTACTTATTTGAGACACTTAAGAGATTAATCTCTTGATTTGCTATGTTTAGTATATTTACATATTATGTTTATGAGAATGTTTTCAACGAGAGGGAGATTCTTAAGACATTAGAGATTTTCATAAGCATCATTAATTTTCTTAATAATTTCTAATAAAACATTTTCATTCATTGGTTCCTCAAGTGCTACCAAACCTTTTACCTTGGATTTCTAAGATTTGGATTGATTAGGTTTCAATTAAATGGAAGAAGTAGGGCCAGAAGTTAATACTAAATTGAGAAGTGCCCTTAAGCAAAGGGCAGCATAACTACCGGAAATAAAAGAAGACAAAGAACGACATCAAAACATTTAAATGCATGCATGTCAAACTCAAGATTAAAGTCATTGACCAATCATGTTACTATTTCATGTTTTGCCTTTTCATTAACATGTTCACATTGCGGTTATTCATGGATTTGTAACACAACCAAAACAAATCTCTTTAATTTCTTATATCAATTTAAACAAAATACTTTTTTTTTTCATTTCTTAAATGATGAGCTTCATTAATTAGAATTTTATTTTAAAATACTATTTTTTTAATATTAAGTTTTAAAAAATATCATTTTAAAAAAATCTCAAATAAATTAGTATTATTCAATGAAAACTATTTTTTAATAATTAGAGATAATAACATAAGTTAGACTCGATAAATAAGTGATTTATCCATTTGTCTGAAAAAATATTTATATATTAAGATTAAAATGAAAAAAAATTATAATTAAAAATACTATATTTTGATATTATATTGTTGATATAAATATTTTGTAATATTATAATTAAACTTAAATTATTAATTATTAATGAATAAAAACTTAAAAATATTTATATAATTAAAAATATATTTTTAAAAAATATATATAAATAATTGTATATATAAAAATATTTATATACTTATCCATTAGTTTGTGAATGCACCTTTAACAAAATATTTTTAAGATTTGTAAATTATCATTATGATAGACCAACTTGACATATTTTTTATTTATTTGTTTATATATATATATATATATATGTGTGTGTGTGTGTGTGTGACATAGATTAAAAATGAAACATATGAATATATTTTGTCAATATTATTAATAATTATTAATTAATATACTTAAATTATAAGATATTAATCAAAAAAATTTAAAGACATTGATAATGCTAATTAGTAATGCTCTCAACTTTTTTTTTAATTGTATTCGAAAGGAATGTCATGAGTTCTCACATAACAATACACGCAATAATAAAATTTTTGAAAACATAACAAAAGTTTTGTGCATCTACACATTTATAGGAGACAGTGTGCGGAGGAACAGAAGAAAGTGTGTTGATATAATCAAAAGTCTCATTCTTCTTCTCCATTTTCAAAAATATCCTCCACTCTCTAACCTTGGATGATTAACAATCATGAAAAACTAGGGCTTTTTTACACAACACAACATCTATTTGC